CATTTTCTTTAAAAGCACTTCCCAATGATCGATTTATTGTTCAATTAAATTATTTGGCATATTATTCTTATACCTGAAAACTTCATGTTTTTTCTGTTTCCTAGTTATGACAGGTTTGCCTCTATGCTCATCGGTCACCCAACTTTGAAGAGTGAGTTTAGCATGCTCAAATGTTACTTTGATTTCACCAATCAAAGAAGCACAAAACAAGGCTCAATGGTCCTTGTTTTGATACAAAAATTAAAGGCCCTGATTTTGAAGAATTCAAAAATTGGGACAACAAGATAGTCATAGATGGTTATCTGGACAAGTAAAAAAAATTTACACAAAAAGAGAAAAGAGAAAAATTAAATGGGGAATAGCTTTGAGGATTTGATCCGAGTAATACAAAATGTTTATGTCCACTATGTCAAGGATGGAGAGTTCGACAATATCAACGAGGAGATAAACATGTGCTTTCCCAGTTTACTGAGTCGTATACAAGCAACCTTAAGGATTAAGAAGGTGGAGGAAATACACTGAACAAAGCATGCATCAGGTGTTGTTTTTATGGTTTGTTCATTGTTCTAGTGATTTCATGTGTACATCTAGCTTCTCATAGCAGGTGAATTTGTAAAGACTTAAAAATCTTGGGAGTTTCTTTGGATTCATGTATACCCCGAAAGCGTTCAATGTGCTGTTTAGTTTGAATGATTTGTCTGTTTAGTATGCAAATAATTTTACTGCATAATAAACTTGTTTACTTAAATAAGTAAACCGGTCCATCAATTTTGAAACAATCAAGAGATGCGTCATGTCCAAAATTCGACAAAGTCCGTCACATCTTGGAACTTTTGGCTCTCATTTACATTTTCAATGTTCAGATCACCACCTACAATCACGTAACTGATGCTTTATGTAAGCTTCCATGTGTTTTTTGTTGTGCAGGTACTCCAACATCTCAATTATCTTCCTACACATACTAACAAATGATAACTACACATGCTAAAGAACACATTTAACACTACATACGCAAACATACAATTGACAAGCTGCTGATGAACTTCTCGTGAATGATCATGCATGCAATTACGTTGGTTAGTTAATTGGCATTGTGGCCAAACACTCAAATTTTCTTAGAAAACTACTGATATGCTTGTGTTGGTGAATATACGGTATCATCACTATTGTGTTATGTTAGTTTCACATTAGAGATTAAAGGACAATCATATCGTTCCCAAAAGTAGGTTAATTTTAGTTTTTGTTAGTGTGCTTTGGAGTTGTTAATGGTTTTGTTTAAATTTATGTGCCATTAAAGGGAAGAAAAGGCGGCGATGCTCAATACAAAAAGAATCCAGTGATGGGTGGCATTTGAAGATTATGTATAGCATGCATACTGTAATGATTAATTTAACGATTAGATAGTAAACAAAACATAATTAGTCAAGCAAGACACTAACTTATACAAGTATTAGTCATGCGAAATCTGCCACATATGATTTACAGGTGCATAAACATAGTTGACCAAACCACCACGATTGAAGATTGTGAAAAAAAATTAAATTAGAAGAATCTGTTGATCCTAAAAATTACATAACTTACACGGCGCGCTGACCGAGTATTTTGGGCCAAACAGAATCATATTTAATTATTTATACAAAAGAAAGAAAGAATGGAAGCATTGCTGTCAGATCGGGCACTGCTGGAGAATAAAAAATGGAAAAGGAAAAAGGAGGATTACTGACCTTCAAGATCCAGCCCTGAATGTAGCCTCTAGGGTTTTGATGGATGATGGGATTTTGGAGTTGGCTGATCCAAATGGGTTGATCGTAGAGTACCACCAGGACTCTAGGGTTAGGTGTGGTGGAATTTTCAAAGGAAGGAAAAAAAACATAAACTATGAACTTCGAGACCGATTTCAATGGAGTTCAGACTTGTTTTCAACTCTGTAGTTTCTGGTGACAATCAGACACTATCTTTCCTCTCTGTTCTCTCATATATAGAAAGCACATGGTTGAAGATATTTGCAACCACCCAAGCATTTGTCTTGTGGCTGGGAGAGAAGGAGGGTGAAGAGGTTAGGTTAGGGTTTTAATGTTCATCTTGGTGCCCAGGTGAGTATAGTAAATGAAGCTGCAAGGTGGTAATGTGTGGGCTGTTGGATTCAGAGTAATCGACGGCTTCAAGAGCAGCTATCCATGGTGTGGCTTGAATTAGGGGTTGTGTTTCCAGGAGGATCGATGATGCGGCGAGTTTTGTGTGTTCTCATCTTCGTCGCTGTTTTCTGATTTTTCCATTGCCTTCAGTTGTAGTACACATATATAATTATTGTGTCCTTGGTTAGAAGCCACTGCTACTTTCAAGCTTTCAACAACCCTCTTTTGTTGTACTTACGTCTCTATTGATTAATTTTTATATTTATTATTTTGTATAATAAAAAAGCATTAAAATAAAGCAGTAATAATGAAGAGAAGATAGTTTTATGACTGGGAGCTTCGCCCTTTTTTTTCAATCAAAATAAACTTCATCAAAAGAGAAAGGTAATAAGAAGGTAAGGATGATCCAAAAGAAGAGTTCAAACAGCCAAGCAAATGCGTTTCCAATATAAAAAATAAAATTAAAAATTAAAAAAAACAGCTAAGCAAATGCTTCAACTTCACGTAAAGAAATTACGATGAAATAGGCCCAAAAGAGGCAGCTCATACTAACACAAAAGCCAAAAACCCTAGAACTGAAAAAAGCAAACAGCCACCTCAACCATATCAAGCCGCACCACCACCTTGAAGACGAACCAACGCACCAAATGGATCAACGGAAATCACGAGTTCAAATCTTCTGCACTCATTTGAAGTTTTTTTTTTTTTTTTTTTTAGTGACCTTCATTATTGATTGATACGTGGTAATAAAATTAACACGCTTTTATTTTGATGTCATAAACTTAATAAGTGTCGACCAATAGTAAATGTTACGAAAAGGCCACACACAAAATGAATGCCAAAGAGCTGATCTCATAGATAGACATGGAGTTATGTAGCAAATCTTTGGAATACTAATCCAACAAAAATCTATGCTAATTACTTTTTATTTTTATTTTTTTCTAAATTAATGTATGATTTTGATGAAATTATTATTGTACTTGCTTTTAGTCACGACAACTTCTTTGTCTAGACTTTTGCATGTTCAATTTGTCACTGACCTTGTTGCTGTCAAAACAAGATGAAACAGATGGTGGAGAGATTGATGAAGCCCCCAATTGCCAGCTCTTTGTGCCCTACGTTTTGGTTGCCCTATTTCTCAGGAGATTAGAATAAGTAAAACCTCAATTGAAATTTGAAAATTTTTACTACAATTTAGAGTTGGTAATTTTTTTAGTGTAATTTTATTTGGGATTGGACTTTGGCAACTGCATTACAATTTAGGATTGGTCTGTGCCGTTGCCGCCGCAGCTGTGGCCCTCGCATGAAGGAGGCTTCAGTCTAGTTTGATACATCAGTCGATCCCGTCTCTGATTTAGTCTGATTTCTCTCCAACACAATTACGACTCGTTTACTAATCCGTAATCAAAATGAGAGGAATTGTATTGATAAAGACTTGAAATGGAGATGATTGTTTATTAATATTTCTGAAATCGGAATATAATTGATATAAATTCCATATAAATTATGAGATCTTTTTATATAGGCGCCTTAGTTTTGAATTTTCTATATCAAATATCCATGTCTTTTAGTGATTTAATTAAACTTTTTTTTGTCATAATTTTGGTACTATATGCACATTATATTGTAACAAATTTCCTATAATCTACCCTTTTGATTACACTCTCCTCTATTAGAGATAAAGGAGTGAGTTTTTCCGGAGGTGCTCATTATGTACAGGGTTTCGATTGCAGAGCAAAACCGCATCAGGGATTCCAGAACAGTTGATTTTTTCATTCTCATAATCTTATCCACTTGATCTACAGATGCTTCATATGCAAGCATTCGCAAGATAGTAGTAATTTTTTGCTCAAGAATATGACATTCATGAAAAGCATCTTTTTTTTGCACAAAGTATGGATTATGGTTGCAAATAGCACTCATAATTTTGTCAAACAAACTTCATTGTATTCTAAAACGACGTCTAAAAATATGATCCGGGAATAAACTGTTGGGGATAAAATAATTTTCCAAGAGATCTTTACCTCTTTCTATCCAAGTTTGCGGCACGTCTGGGTTTGGATATCTGACCCACAGCTTCCATGACATGACGGAAATGTGAGGCCCTCTGCCTTTTATGTTCATCATCCTCATCCTCTTCCATTGCGAAAGCCTCATCTTCACCTTTCTTGAGATTGAACAATTCTTCCTGTTGTGCCAACAATTTTTTCTTTTGCTCATCGATTTCATACAATCTCCTTGAAGAAGACATCGTAAGAACTCAAGATTTAAAAACGATGAATAAGGATTTTGAGCTAAAAAGGAAGGATTGAGTTTGGTGTATGAATGATGATAGATGTATGTTTATATGGACAAAAAAAGAAAGGATGAGGTTCTGGACAATGTCACGTGGCACTAAGTGATTGGTTGAAAATCTTATCGAGATTTTGGCTAAATTATTGTAAACAGATAGTGACACGTGACACGTCAGGATTTGTTGAAAATCTTATTGGAAATCTTGGCTAAATTATTGTAAACATATAGTGACACGTGGCACGTCGGGATTGATTGAAAATCTTATTAGAAATCTATCCATAAAATAGTACTTTCGGATAATGACACATATCGTGACAAGATTGATTAAAAATCCTATCCAAAATTAAAATTAAAAATTTTCTTTATTATTTTATAAAAAAAAATTAATAATATTTTAAATGGACATGATGCTAACGTATGTTATAAAAATGAAGATGCATTTGTGACAGCTTATTTTTTTTAATTTTATACCACCGTATTTTTTAAGGATGGAGGTACATTTGTCTAATTTTTGTTTATTGGAGTTAATCATTACTTATCTGAGTGGATTAAACATATTTAGGGGTGAAGTTGCTCTAACAAAATCAACAGAAAACAAACAAGGTGGGGGTTTGGGCTCTCGTCGGGGTTTCATTCATCACTCTTTTGAGCAAAAAATACCCAAAACATTTTCCCTTCATCATCCACGCTTCTCTCTGTAATTTGAGTTTTCTGCAGATTTCCTGAAATTCGAGTTGGAATCAGCAAAAAGAGAAGAGCTTTGAAGCGAAGTCAAGATGAAGACGACGAAGGGAGGGAAGGTGATGAACCCTACGGACGCTTACCGGAAGGAGCTCCGGAAGAAGGAATTGAAACGGGTAACGATTACTTCTCTGAAAACTACGCCGTTTTGTGCTCTTTTTCTTCTGTTAACTCCTTGATTCCGTGCTCAATTCGCAATTGGGTTGTTCGTTTTCGTTTGTATTCGTTCGATTTTCTCAATTTGGTACTCCATTGTTTCTAATTTCAGTGTTGCCCTAATTCTCATGAGATTAGAATAAGTAAAACTTCAATTGAAATTTCAAATTTTTTACCACAATTTAGAGTTAGTAAATTTTTTTTAATGTAATTTTTTTTGGGATTGGATTTGGCATCAGCATTACCAATTTACCATTGTTGTTTCTGAAAGAAAGATGTAAGCATACTGAAGCAGGCATTGGCTTATTGTAAATGGACTTGATAGCATTAAGTTCGTGAAAGGCTGATGCTTTTATTTCGTATTACCATCTAAAAGTTATACCAGGCAGTTTGCACAGCTTCACACACTTTGTTCTTAGCCGAAAGGTCGAGAATAGTATATATATGTGCACACGCAGACGTATATGGGAAGCGGATGCATGACCATGATGCTTAATCAGTATTACCTTATGTTTGCGAGACTTTTTTTTCTTTCTGTTAAGTGTGTTTGATAGCGTATGCTTGTGCCTCCTCTTCTTAGAATTATGCAATTCCAAAATAAACTCCCTTTATATGTTTCTTTTGGTGTTCTTGACAAGCATATTGCATTGATTAAATCCTTATTTACACTTCTGACTTTGTATATGACAAACAGAATAAAAAAGAACGAAAGAAGGTGAGAGAGGTGGGGATCTTGAAGAAGGATCCCGATACTTTGAAAGAGCAGATTGATAAGCTGGAAATGATGAGTAAGTCACAGTTTGCTTACGGGCTTCTGGTTATGGAGCCTTTTTTATTTATAGAAAGAATGATTATAACTTATAGCTGTTATATATCTATAGAGTGTAATACTGGATCTTTTTTATGCTCAAATTTATTGAAAGTTGATTGTTTGAACTTTGAATGCTCGGAATAGTATTCATGTAGAAAAGAATGTATTTTTTCTTGGAGGAAAATTTCAGCTCATGCTTTATTATGCCTTACTTCTTGCTTCAGTTTGTCTAGATTTTTTATTTTCACTAGTTTGATTTTGATCTGCAGCCATATCATGCTGCTTTTCCTGTTCATACACACTGATGTATTTCACTGATTGGCGCAGAGGCTGATGGCGCTCTTGACAAGGCAAGAAAACACAAGAAGAGGCAACTAGAGGATACACTTAACCTTGTTATAAAGAAGCAGAAGGTAATTGTCACTTACAACATGATTGTTGTTTTTCATTATATGTATTTCTTTCTAATTGAACTAGACACGTTGTTTTATAATGCTGCGCTGTGATCTTCGATTGGCCACAGAGTCGTTCAGGGTCCTCTATGTTCACTTCACATTAATCCCGTGGGCTTTTTTGTTAGAATAAGTTTCATACATCCAATGATCAGACGCTTTCGTACAGGAATATGTAGAGAAACAGAAAGAAAAGGGCGAGGTCCCAGTTATGTTCAGGTGAACATTCTGTTTTCCCATTGTATTTCTGTGCTAGTGGTCAAACTCTAAATACATTTTCTGTAATTGTTTGTTTTGATTTATGAACTATAGTTTTTTTTTTTTTTTCTGGTCAGTCATTTGGGGCCGCCTAAAAGACGAAAGACTGCAGAAGAAGAGGAGAGAGCGAAGCATCCGATGCCTGAGGTAAGATATTACTGGTTTCTAAATGCTATTTTCTGTCCTTTCATTTTCTTTTTCAATATATAAAACTCAACATTTCTTTCTTTTTTCTCCTGCAGGACTCAGTTTACTTCCATCCGACCCTGAATCCTACTGGTGCCCCACCACCTGGAAAGCCTCCAATGTTTAAATCGTCAATAGGTCTGGATCAGCCCCACTCCCACCCTAATTTTGTGTATTGTTGTGACCGCTTTACTTTCTCTCGCTTATTCAGTTCTGGAATTTGAATTGCAGGACCAAGAATTCCCTTATCTGCTGCTTCGTCAAGTGGTGCTGCATCATCCTCTAAAATGGAGTCAGAGGACGCTGTACCTCTGGCTGAATCTGGTGACAATGGCCCTGGTGATGGCTCTGTCATACCTGAGTCCTTGCCGCTACCTCCTCCGCCTCCATTGCCGCCTAACCCTGCAGCTACAAACCCAGGTATCTCATTGCCGCCACCACCACCACCCCCACCTCCAGGACCCCTGCCTAAAGAGCAGATTTCTAATCACCCCCTACTTCCCCCTCCACCTTTTCAACAGTCCGCCCAGCTTCCTCCTCCTGGTATCAGCGGAAATGAGAAGGAACAAAATCAATCTTCATTGTCTGATCTAACCTCTAAGGACTCCACACAGGTAAGCTTCTTTTATTGTCCACTGACCGATATCTTATATTTTAAAAGGAATAAGAATTATTAGAGGCGTAAAATAGTGGGTGATATTATTTATAGCAAATTATGGAAGTTACTTGCATATACATGACTGGTATGCCCAAAAAAAGGGTGTGGCCGTTGCCAGGCTTATCTCAAACTTGTAGGCCAAAAATATTTTTATTAAGTTTTTATATTTGTGAAATTAATGCCTCCTCCTCTTGTAGGTGCATACCATGCTTCCTCCTCCTCCTCCTCCACCTCCAGGTTTACTGCCTAAGTCAACAAATAATCAGTCGGGAGGTGCAACATCTGACGCTGAAACCAATAATGCTCAACTTACCAAGGATTTTACTAACATGGTTCCACCACCTCTTCCTCCTCCTCCTCCTCCTCCAAGACAACAACCTCCAGTTCCTGGATCCACCCTTATTCCAAATTTACATCCCGATGTATTGCCCCCAGGTATCTCACGTTTTCCTCCACCCCCACCTCCACCAGATATGCGGCCACCATTGTCCACTCCTGGACTTCCCACTCGACCAGGTCCCCCGGGAATGATGGTCCCAATGATCCCCAGGCCCCCATACGGTCCTCCCCCTGGACCTCGCCCAATGATGAGACCACCACTTCCACCTGGGCCTCCTCCTACTTATCAAGAAGATGATTATGCTGCTCGAGTGGCTGCCCATCAGAAACCTTCATATGTTAAATCTGCAGCATCTACTGTTGTGAAGAGGCCTCTGGCTCAGCACACTCCAGAACTTACATCCATGGTGAGTTTATTCTCTTTCACTGTCAGTAAGATGCAACGCAAGTCTCTATTGCTTTGCATGTTTTTACAAGTAACACATAACTTGATAAGCAATGTAGTGTCTAATTTCTGCTTTAAAATTTTAACCTTTTAAAGGAAGATTATTGGAGTGGTGAGATGGCCGTGGTGGGTTAGAGGTTTATTGTTGTTATAATTAGAGGTGGTAAGTTTAAACTTCTATCAAATTTTATAGACAAGCTTCGTCAGTGCCAACAAAATCGGTAGATTTATGAGACATTGGTATTGGGTTAGCACTTGTTTCATGTTATCTAATAATTTTGTTTCTATAATATTGCAAGATGCCAATTTCCTTCTATGACCCCAGCCTGTTTCTTGGTTCTGGATTTAGGTTCCTGCATCTGTTCGGGTAAGGAGAGAGATGGCCGCCCCAAAAGCAAAAGCAAAACCTTCACTCCCAACCACAGCAGCACCTACCCAGTCAGCAACTCCTCCTGTTAAACCAGAGTCAGCAAACTCGTCGTCAGCACCAAAAGGCAAGAGCATAGATGACTCGTATATGGCTTTCCTGGAGGACATGAAGGCGCTCGGAGCACTTGAAGGTTGACATCCAGCTGGTTAGTCGGCACCAAGATAGAAACAAAAAAAGAGAAAGAACATCGAAACAGCATGGCATGCGTGTAGCCAAAGGAAACACAAATGCACAGGCTATTGAAGTTGAGACGGAGACTGGTGGTATTCCTTTTTGTTGCCATTGTCATTAACTTAGTTTCCTAATGCATCGTTTCACGGTGAATTCAAAACAATATCAGATGTTGAGATGGGTGTAATGAGTTAGAAATTCAGGATGTACAATTTGTAGCAATCTTTTATTTAAAATAATTTCGTTCTTATGAAAGGGTAAGCATTGCTTGCTCTTCTTCGCAGTGTAAAAGGTTAAAAGAAGATTCTTACTACCAAAGCAATTGCCGGAGCAGTTTTTCCCCGTATCCCTGTTTTTGAATCCAAATGCATTTTACAATAGCACGAACAGTGGACTTCTTGTCGTGCTGAAGCAGACACAACTTCATCTTGTTAAGCAACCTGGTATTGCCTTTGTCTGCTTGAGATCCGGGAAAAACGGTAAAAACCCTAGTGACCTTTACTTTGTATGGCTGCTTTTATGCAATGTAAAAACTCAGGACTGCTGCTTCCAATGCTTTTCTTCACTCTTCAACATATTGTTTGAGGAAACCCAAATACTAAAAATAAACCTAACAATTGAAACTTGCAACGCACGTTTACCAAAGTTTTAGCACCGAAGTAAACAGGGGATGTAAACGAACTGAAGAAACTCTAGTTTTCGGGTTGACTAAAACGACAGTAAGTTGTATATAGAGTACGCTTTAGTGCTGTTTATCGAGCTTTGTTTCTGTTTAAAAGTTTGTAACTAGTTCTATATGTGTCGTTCTCTCAACAAGATGTTGTGTCTCTTGACATGGCAGTAGGTCGACTAGTGGTGGCAGTTGGTGCCAACGAGTTCTAGTCTTTGTTGTCCGATCACCTGACACATGTCAATAGGGTTAGATCTTAGGTTTTAATTCTCGATTCTTCCATAAAAAAACTAATTATGCAACCATGTCACAAAATAGATCAAAGTTAGTAAAGTATCATGAAGGCCGGTCGAGCAACCATGTCACAAAATAGATCAAAGCTAGCAAAGTATCACGAAGGCCGGTTGGCAAATGTTTTGCCCGTGTCGAGCAACTGGCCCTAGTGCCAATTTATCGATGACACGGGATGTTTATAAGTCGTAGGAAAACGACTTTGGTTTAAGCACATGCGCTAACATTGGCATTCTCCTTTGCAGCTTGCTGCTGCTGTTCAATCCTTCAGCGTCACATCCTTTATGTATTGATTCAAGTGGGTTTTTCTCTATACTTCCTTTTTGTTAATTTTGTATTGCAAAGTTTGCTGCTTTACATTCGAATCCTCTTCCCAGCGGTTTAGATTAGTTCAAAGAAAAATATCGCTCGTATTAAAATGGTTAGTTGATTGCAGGGGCACCTTCTACTCTGAGTGATCCACTCAAGTTTTGTCCTTACAATGAAACTGCTTGCTGCAACTTCACTGAAGATTCAATAATCCAGAAGCAATTCCAAACCATGAACATCTCCAATTCTGACTGTGCTTCCCTTTTGAAATCAGTACTTTGTGCAGTAAGTCCTTTTCTTTCCCTTTTCTATGTTTCCGCAAGAGGTTTGTAGCTCAAGTGAGTAGGAGCGTTTATCCAAGTATTGGTTGTATAAAAAAATACAAAGTTTCCAATTTTAAAATTCTGTACTTATAGTGAGACCATGATGCATAAAAACCTTCAATTCCTGATTTCTTTTCTGTCATGGTTTTTAGAGGTGTGATCTGTTTTCGGGTGAGCTTTTCACCGTTGATTCTGTGCCTCGCTCTGTTCCGGTTCTCTGCAACTCAACTGTTTCATCAAATTCATCCCAGTCTAAAGAAGGAGTGAAGCATTTCTTTCTGCGGATGACCTTAGAATAAACTTGTGGAATCTTGAGATCACTGACCAGTGTTTCAATATCCTTGATATGAAGCCACCAAACATGGAGGACCTTACTGGTAGTCTACCCTTTGTCTTTACATCTTATAATTTCTATGAACGCCCATACTGTATATTCAGTTGAACATGCTTAATATCATCCAAACATTTCATATTTTTTTCGGATGGTGATATGTTCCATTTGTGGGAAGATACCGATCAAGATATAAGTTAAAATTGTGGGAAAGATGGTTTGGAATCGAATTAGAATGTTTGAGATGAGAGGATTAAAATTTCTGTGTTTTCAGAGAATTGAATTTTGAGAAAATTTCAGAGTTGTATAACAATGATCGCATATTTGTTAAATTTGGATGCTGTTTCAGTGGAGATGGACTTCATTTTGCAACTGGGTCTTATGGGTATGAGGTATGCCCTTTTGACAGGATCGCACAAAGAAGAATCCCACAAAGAAGAATTTTTATTGAATTAGGATTTGACGAATCGTTCCGATCTAGTTTAGCCTAATAAATAAATAATATGTAATCCTCGATTAGTTGTTTCCAATTTGAATTCTAATTTGATTGTTCTTCATAATCCTATTTCATAAGGGATACCTTTCCAAAGATGACCAGGATTACAAACACACTATATATTAGTAAGTGCCATTAGCAATCAATCAAACAATCTGCACAATCACAACTACATCGATCAAACGATAAGGATCATGTTTTATATTGATGATCTCCCTGATTTTGTATTGGTGGAAATCCTTTGTCGACTTCCCCTCGAATCCGCAGTTCAATGCAGGTGTGTTTCCAAGCGTTGGTTCAGTCTCCTCTCTGATGATTACTTTCGTTTATGCTTTTTGTGTGTCCAAGATAAAAAGCAGACGCCGGAGCCAACTACTCTGATCTTCATGAATCCAAGGGATTCGAGGGATTTCTTTACCATCTCCGAGCAGCCTCTGGTGCCCGAAAACCAAGGCCGCCGCTGCAGCTTTTCTTTGAGTTTCCTCCCTTGTTTTCAAAGGCCTGTCGACACACCAGACAAGGAACCAATTGTAGTAGCGGCATGTCGGGACTTAGTATTATGCTGCGCAGCCAAGACTAGTTCGGACTACTACGTCTGCAATCCATCCACCAAGCAATGGGACGCTATTCCTTCCCTTTCTCATCAATGCTGCCAAGAGGAAGCGTGGGTCGGATTCATCTGCGAACCCTACTACTATAAGAAGGAATGCAGGGAAGATGGCAACGATAGCCGAAAGGAAAAAAGTAATACATTCCAACTTAACGTTGAGAGTTGGTACAGGATCGTGCGATTAACTCATTCATCCTTGCCGCAGCCCTCGAAAATAAAGCTCGAGATTTTCGCTTCCGAGACTGGTAAATGGACAGAACATATTGTATTAGGAATTTCACTTAGTAGTTTGAATCGCACAGCGGTTGCTTACAATGGAAATCTGTATTGGTGGAACTTTGATGCTGGCTGGGCGATCGGTTTGGATATTGAACATCTTAAATGGCGTTGCATTCGTAGGCCTCAAGATGATCAGTTCATCACTCCCATCCATTCACATTTTCAAATCCTAGATTCCATTAAAGCAAGAACTCGAAAAGGATATTGTATGCGAATGTGCCAGTTCGCTCAAAATCGAAACTGTCCAATTTTTCTGAGTGTTTGGGAGTACTTGGAAGATGAAGAGGCCAATAACGCTGGCAAATATTGGTGTTTATTAGGCAGAGTTTCCCTGGACTGGATGATTTCGCAAAATCCATTGACCATGGAATCGAAGGAGAAAAAGATCAGGAATCTCGGTTTTGACCCAAATAATGAGGATATCTTGTATCTACAAGTATCTGGATACGTTGTTATGTATAACATTGGCGCAAAAACGGTAAAAGTGGTTTGGAAAACTGAGCTCATTTATGATCATATTCTTTACCGACGAGTTGTCTTTCCATATATGCACCCATGGTGGCCGACGCCACATCCTAAACGCAAACAACTACGGGAGACCTCTAGAAGACCAAGCAGCAACAGGGATGATGAGACGGAACGGCGGAGCCAGGAATTATTAGGTTGGTGGCCTAAGTTAAAATTATTACTACGAAATCAAATGCTCAATTTTTTTCGTTGCCTACTTAAAGCTATGTAGTTTCATTTCAGTAAGAACTTTATAGTCTGCTTTTAGGTTCTAGCCTTCAAACTTTCAAATGAATATACTATTGTATTGAAGTTTTAATTCATTAAATTTTAGTGTTGGTTAAAGTGATGAGTTTATTTATCATTTATTAACTCTTATTTTCCCTAAAAACACTTCTACGATTCAGACTTTTCATTTTCTAGGTGGGCTACGACAATTAAAAAAATCATAAAATAGGTCAAACAATTAGTATTTTTTTAGCTTAATGAACTAAAACTCCCCCAATGCTATAGCTTAACGGAGCCTTGTACTTGGCCCTATGTGTGAACTTTACTGGTGGTGCCAAAGAGAGACAAGAATAGGCCCGGGCCTATCCAACATCCTTCATATTCTTTTCTAAGCAAAAAGGATTAAAAAGAAAGGAATATCCAATTATTCTGAAAGAAAAATCCCATAGTAATAGTTTTAAGTCATGACTTTAAGTTTTTGTTCAAATCTAATCAACGAAGTAACATATGAGCGCACACTGCCGTGAGTGGAGGGGTTCACCAATCCGGAATCGGAATAAGGGGAGTTGAATTGAGGAGAAGTACGATTGAGGACAATCATAATTGGATTTTTATTACTAAATTGTCTAAAATCAGAACCCTAGGGCATTACTCTTGTTTATGCGAGCAAAATTGGGGATGGGAGAATCGAACTTAGGACCTCAAATGCAACTGGGCAAGAGTGAATACTCTTAACCAAATGAGATACAAGCCTCTTGCAAGCCCGGTAAAGTTCAGTCTATCAAAAGAAATAACGTTGGTTACAATTTGGTGGTTTTAGGCATTTATACACAACTGACGCAGGTTGCTTGTAAGGAGGTACACTATTGGTATTAACAAATCTGACTTCTCCTTGTGCAAAAGAAAGTACCCTGTGCCTGAAACTAAAAAAAATCATGACATCTTAGCATTTACAATCCTCGATAACAATCACATATTCTTGTTATGACAATAGCGATCGTGTTAAGGAAGAGAGCCTCGAGTTACCTGCGCAAGTCAAGTCTAATTATACCAGCTTGAAGGACAGTCAAATTGTCTGAATCTGGTGAGACAATGATCGCAGTGTCTTCGGAGTACCGAGTCTCGAGTATGGACATGAGTTGTGTCACCCGAACGAATACATCTGAGACGCTCTCGTTTGGGGTTCCATCATCGATGGGGGAGGCTTGATTGCGAGAGAAAGAGTGTCTGATGCATATACCTGAGGTGCACTAACAAAATTACTCATCATACTTGCTTCGCCTGTCAATGACTATATATTCTACTCCGTTGCGAGATAAAAAAAATGTGGATGTTCATTGGAAATGGTACTTCTAAAACAGCTTCTAGGTTCTTCCTTCATAAGCCCCCCCAATCCACGGGTGTCGAGAAAGCTATACTCTGGGACACTACAACTGCAAACAGAAATGCATGATGATTGCACAAAGCTAACATCTTTGGATAGATTTATAGAGGTATACTCAATCAGCATGTTTCCACAATGGCTATCATTCTGAGTTGGCCTCGAGATTTCGAAAATCATGCTACCAATTCAGATTAAAATGCATGGTAACAATGAGTTTGAATCAGGAAAATGGCATCCCCTTTGAATACTAGAAGTACTTTTATTATGAACTGGTCGAAAATTAAAAACCTTAGTGCTTCCAGAAGAGAATGCCATTTTGGAATAATTGTGTGTTCTATTCATCTCTCAAGGACGGATTTATAAGATGTTACAATCCTATAAATAAGGAAAGAAATAATTGACATAAAATCATATTAAACTAAAAATCCCAAGATTACAGGAATATACACAAAAAGTCAATAGTCCCCCTCAAATTGGTGCATATATGTCACACATGCCCAACTTGTGTAAGAAACTTGAAAACTTATGACTTGAAACAATCTTTGTGAGGATATCTGCCAACTGATCTTCCGTTCTTATATATTGCCAGTATCTCAATTATCTTCCCTTCCAATTTCCCTTTGATGAAGAACTGGTCAACTACAGGCAATATACTCAAGCTCTTTCTATCAAGGAGCATGGACTTGGGGATACCCTCTGGAAGTGCTGTTTTTTAACAGAGGGATGACTCAGAATAAATGATCCCACAAAGGAAGTTCTTCGGCCTCTAACTTCACTGCAGAAGATTCTTTCCACTAACTTCAGTGCATCCTCGTTGTCAACTCCATCATGTAACTTCATATCAAAACTCAAAACGGTAGTATTAGAATGTTCCATGCCGATATCCATGTCCGCCCCTTTCATCGCCATTTCAGATCTCAACTTGACTTCAGATTATGTCGACATGACTTCTGCATCTGGTATATGAACCGGATTTGAGAAGACCTATCCCAAGTCATCCATGTCAATTCCTTTTGTCACGTATACGATCACGCCATGAACCTTGTTTCTTTCAAAGTACCTATAGAAATGGCAGCATCATTTCAACTAACTATAAAGACATAAGCCCAAACAAATATAAAGCTTTTTCACAAATACATTAATAAATTTCATTTCTTTAGGAAAGAAGAAAATATCAGAAAATTCAAAGCTTCAATAAATCTTATATGCAATCAAATTGGAGATATAAGCCATGAACATAATTAAGAGAAGCAAAGAAACTATCCCTACAACAACTTATGATCAATCCAGACAAAGAGCATGCACACCAAACAAATCAGAATCGTTTGGGAGAACATATCTCTATTTATTCTAATGCCAAAATAAACAAAACAATAGTGCTAAGGACAATGCATTGCTCATTTCATTCACTTGGAACATTCATTTTACCCAAGCATAATACCTAAGTATATGCTAATGCCACTGCCTTTGAATTGTAGGAAGCCATAACTCCTATACATCACTTATCAAAAGGACGTGCAAATGGAAAGTTACGAAAACTATTATAGATGTCACGCCCCGATCCCGACATACGTCCAGGATCGATGCATGTCGTCATCAAATAACCGTATATCTAACATACCCGCCTCCGGGATATGTACCAAGCACATCCCATGCCTCGAATTGCGTAGTAATTTTTCGTACACTTTATGACTGCATCTAACCTCTCGTTAGACTGCCTACCTACCCTCAATAGGGATCAAGTCATTCGTAGTTCGTCATTTCACTACACTTGAGCATCCATCATATAAATCGCTATGTCTCAACAATATATCACAATGCATACCATGCAATATGTCAAAGAACCAATGATGAAGCACAATATTCTTCTCAAGCCACATTGATCAACTAAAATAATAATAATAATAACATCCATTTCCAAAGTTATTATGCAACCCCGTCAATTAATCAATTCATGAATAAAAAATGCATGATCTTAGCATTTATTTATGTTAATCAATCAATGCGATAACGTATCATTTCACGAATTTAACTAAGGAACTCTATATAATTCCCTACTTGGATTATGAGTAATAAACATGGAAATTCTAATTTACATTCACAACATCTATTAGGGGTAATTCCCATTCACTCGAACCTAGGGCTCTAGACTAACCTTATGGAAATGAGCAAGAGCAACGATTCCGGACCACTCAACAGAATCCAACAATCTTGGGTTCCGGACCACTCAACGAAACTATATTACCAAGCTGCTCTTTGTAATCTACCCAGACCTGTCATTGTACAATCATGCCTACATCAAGGAGATGGCACATTAGGCAAATCAAACACTTGGATAAGCTGCGAAGCTCGGGTGAGTGACAATAATACAAGTATATGATATTTAATTAAAACAAACCATCGATCACAATTGATAAACATCAAGTATAGAATCATGCTTTATGGAATCATAATCAAGTCGTTGAAAACTCCGTAGGAGTCACCCAGACATCCAACGATTTTTCTAATTCAAACCACAAGATTCTTAAAAATAATTGTTCATATGTACATTAAAAACTAGGGCTAGAAGGACGCAGTTCGGCCGAAGCCTACATAAGTAACCAAACAGAAAGTGGCCCCCTATCGCGGATTATCCAAGCAGAACCACCGCTGCAGCAACCACGTAGGCAGTAACCCCCTATAGCGGATTAACCAAGCAGAGTCACTCATACGCATCTGTTAGGCAGTGATCACCTATCCTGGATTAACCAAACATGATCACCCCTAAGTGTGTGTGTGTGTATGGTCATATCAAAGATGTAAGGATCGCCTATCGCGGATTAACCAAGCACGATCCATAGAAAATTGATCCCCTATTGCAGATTAACCAAGCACGACCACTAGTGACCCCCTATCGCGGATTAACCGAGTAGGGTCATAGGCAGTGATTACCCATCGCATATTAACCAAGCATGATCACTCTTAAGTATACATGGCTATAAGGATCGCCTATCGTGGATTAACCAAGCACGATCCATAAATAATATGGTCCCCTATCGCGGATTAACCAAGCAGGTGCACTAATGACCCCCCAATCGCAGATTAACCAAGCAGAGTCATAGTCCCTTACTAGCCCTCAATTTAACAAACATTTCAATATGCAATTCGAATCACTTTTTCACCAATATTACCAATCCATGAATCTAATCACATTTAATAAAAATAGATCGATGGCCAATTATAAAAAATCACATTTTAACAGAAAGCACATTTATAAAATCAAGTCATATCCACAAAAGATATTAATATAAAGAATCGGGTAATCACCATATTACATATATTAAAGTCACTCACCAAGATAAGCCCGCATAGCATCACTATGCCTCTATTAATACTAATTTTAGTTTTATAAATGATTTGAGAAATGTTGACCAAAAGTCAACTCTCGATCGTCGGTGAGGCCCACAACCCTATGTAATTTGATCCGACAGATCCGCACATCGGATTTCAGATCCGTAACTTCCTGAAATACACATTATACTTCTAGAACAACATACTAAAATTTCACTACGATCCGACGGTCGGATCTCCGCCAATTGCTAGAATTAGGTGGGGGATTAACAATTTGTTTTGCAAACTTAGAAATCCAATTCGGGAAGATCCGTAAGTCGGATTCCCAATCCGTCAGTTCCTAATATCCTCAAAAATTATGTTCTATTTTGTATGAAAGTTTGGAGACTATCCAACAGTCGAATCATCGGTTCATATTTTGATCAAGTAATGTATCATAGTGAAATTAGGTTCAAACGATCAAACCACGTCATACGAATATCAAATACAAATTCAGGACATCTAATTGAACTTAGAAGCACATCGTTGGCCCCCTCGGCACTTTATGGCTTCGACCTAGAAAAATGGGAAAACACGAATGGAAATCTAACACTACAGAGATGTAGGACTCGTCAAGAGTTTTCCATGGACATCAAGATCACCCAAAACGGAAGTCAGATGAAGGAGATATGGCCGGATAAAAAATGGTGGTTCACATGTCAAAAATGACCCATTTGGGGTCTCTCATTTTCCCTCCTTTCTCCCCCCTCTCTTTGGTCACTCCTCCCCTCCTTTTCTCTCCCACAACCTCATCTTCTTCTTGCTCCCGCTGCCATCTGGCAGCATCCAGTCCCTCCTTTTCTTTTTTAATTTTTTAAATACCAAAACGTCTCTACTTTATTCGTTATAGCTTCGTTTCACGAACAGTTTGTGTCTACGCGTTTGTGAGATCGAGCTCTATCCAAAGATATAAATTGTGACCTCAAAATGTCTACGAGTTTTAAATAAATAATTTCCAAACTTCTCTTTTCATAACTAGTTTAATAAAAAAATCTAAATTCAAACAAATTAAAATAAATTCTTGAAAAATAATATAAAATCTCAATAATACAAATACGTAGATTAAATAAGCGAAATCTAGAAACGGAATTTCACAATAGTGGCACATGAAGACAAGAGGAAAAAAAGAAAAATTGAAAGATGCAATGAAACCAAAACCCCACAAAACAGAGACACATAGAGGATAGAAGAGCATAACCCAAAAAAAAGAAAATGAGCACAAACATGTTCTTAAAGCAGCCAAACAAATGGGCATTTTTTTAGTTTTTTGGCGGAATTGCCATTGGTTTGGGGGGCTGGGTTTGTGCTTTGGACGGACTATGCATTTTGCAGGCCTTCTTTGCGGGTCTGTTTCCGCCTCCAGCGCTTAGGCCCGCTGGAGTGTCGAAATGACGGTTCTACCCATCTGGCTTTGAATTCTACGATTCCAATGCTACCCCTCCCCAACTTTAGACTAAAGTAAGGTCATTTTCTTAAAATGTTTTATTGTACTTGAGCCGGATATTTTAGTCAGCAATCAAACTAACAAAAGTATGACATAACAGTTTAAGTGAGTCACATAACATATTTGAAAAACTATTAAAAGTTATCTTTTCGAAGCAAATAGTTCACAGCGCTCATTTTATAGATATTGTAAAAGCCAACCATGAATATCTAACAAATATACGTTTAAGGATAAATATTGTAATTAATTTTATGTTTAGTTAATTCGCGTTGAGCTTTGCTTTCATGTCTTAATTTAAGGGTTGAATATTTTCTTCCTAGAAAATGAATTGCAGGCTTGCAGCCCAACAAATGCATGTACAAGCTGGGAAACATCGAATGAAATCAATCGTGTTTAATTGCGGGCAATCAGTGGTTCAAAATTCACAATTGTTTTCTTTTTATCTAATAAATCGCAAAGGAAGGTCCGCTGGTTGTATCTAAGAATTTCTGCTGACGAATGGTCGAGGTGAGTACCCGTTTTAGACCGCTAGATCCATATGAACGGTTGTAAATTTAAAACAGGCTTACGTAGAAACGGGTACAAAAATACCAGCCCAGCCCATCCAAGTTAAAATACTAAAAAGCCCTCCCAGAACCCAAAATCCTGTTTTTGAAAAATCTGAAAACAGAGAGCGCGGGGTGGCGCAGCTGTCAGCGGCGACCGTCATTCACGGCGCACGTTAGATGCCCCCGGCAAACTGTTGCAGCATTGGCTGAGTCAGTGAGTGAGCGAGTCAGTCGATTAGATGAGTTCGAAAGAGAAGTACAGAATCGAGCTTCGAACTGCGATTCGACAGCTGAGCGATCGCTGCCTCTACGCCGCTTCCAAATGGTACCTCCCAAAACCCTAAAACCCTAAATCCGCATTTCAAATTTCAATTCTTTACATCCAATTGATGCGTCGTCTTTTCAATAATTATGCAGGGCGGCAGAGCAGCTCGTCGGCATCATCGAGCAAGACCCGGTAAAGTTCACGCGTGCGAACACGAGATTCCAGCGCGGGAGCTCCAGCATCCGGCGCAGATTCCGCACCAACGACATCACCCCGACGTCGGCTGCCGGCGTGTCGTATGTGTCCACTCCGGTGATGGAGGAAGATGACATTGTGGACGGCATTTTGACTGCAGGGAGTACAGAAGAGCTGCTCATGTGCTTCGTGATCAGAACGGAAAGAAGTCGTGCTCTTTATCTGGTTTGTAACTTTCTCTGTTCTTTCACTCTCTGGAAATCAAAGTTTTAGTCTTTTGATTTTTCGATGTGTATCGCCCATGAATTTGAATCTTCACAAGTTTAAAATTGTTGAGAATACGTAGTATATAGGTAATCTAACCAAGAACACCACCAACAATTATACTGGTTCGGCGTTAGCAAGCCTATGTCCAGTCGGAGAGGACGGAGTCTTCTAAGAGAGCACTGACGAGTGTGTATCACTCGAGAACCCTATGACCCAAATACACCCAAGCTCACTCGCTCACTAAATCAAATGAGAAACGAGAAATTTTGTTCTTGTTTCTCCAATTCAAATAAGCTGTGCAACATCCACAATAACCTAAACAACACTCTCCGAGAAGTGTATCCATAAAGCCAAAGAAAAACTAGGCCGAGAACATCCCGTGAACAAGACTGACGTGGCACTTGAAAGCCACACAATGCTTTGTGCAAAACAAGCTTGTTAGTCAACAGGCTTTTGTTAAAAAATCCTTGATTTTTATGAACCTACTTATTCAGATTTTATAATTGTATATTTTTCTTTGTTTTTATTGCTTCATGAAGGCTGGAGAAAAGCGGAAAGAGGAAGAAATGATGGAACTTGAGGGGCCCCTAGGAAAGAGCGATGTTGTGAATGGTGAACTGGTTTCTCTCGAGAGGGAGTTATCAACCCTTCGCAAGAATCCCATATTGATCCTTCTGGACTCTACTTGTATGGCCTTGTGCTCAAAGACAAAGGCAGCAAGAGTCTTGCTCTTACAGTTCTTGTGGAGTCTGTTAATAGCTACCCTTGGCACTGGAGTACCTGGTCGGAGCTGCAGTCGTTGTGCACTACAGTTGATGTCTTGAATAGCCTTAAGCTCAATAACCATTGGATGAAGGACTTCTTTCTCGCCAGTGCTTATCAAGAACTCAGGAAGCACGGTGAAGGCAGGTGCAGTTGTCGTGAACCCTGAGTCGGAGATGCATCGCGAGGTCATTACCCAAGAATCACCGATGAACGCGGGTGCCGTCGCCGTCAATATCCACGATCCGCACCCCACGCCCCATGAGCCTGCCCGTGAAATTTCCGCATTCTCCTGGATTGTCCAAAATTTGATGCAAGCATCCAGGTTCTTGGCAAGACTGATCACATTTGTGGAAAGCTGGGAAGCCTTTCCACAACTCACCGCCGCAAAGGCATTCTTGCTCCCTAAATTGGTGGCGGTTAAAACCATCGCGGACCTCTTGCTTCTTGTGTTAGGGGTATAGGTGAGTAAGTTACTTCGTCCGTCTTCTCCTCAGGTATCCACCTTCTTGTCCATATAGGGTATCTAGGTGAAAGAAAAGAAAGTAAAAAGTACTTCGTCCCTTCTTGTATATCCAGCAGGTGTGTCCTTTTTGTGTATCCGTCGAATTTTACCAGAAAATGATACGTCAAAATTTTGCACTTGTTCAAATTCCCTGAGATTGTATTGTGTGTGCCTTTGCAAATTGAGCTTGAATGTTATTACTGAAAACAATACTTGAGGAGAAGACATACGAAGTACTTTACTCACCTATACCCCTAACACAAGAAGCAAGAGGTCCACGATGGTTTTAACCGCCACCAGTTTAGGGAGCAAGAATGCCTTTGCGGCGGCAAGTTGTGGAAAGGCTTCCCAGCTTTCCACAAATGCGATCAATCCTGCCAAGAACCTGGATGCTTGCATCAAATTTTGGACAATCCAGGAGAATGCGGAAATTTCACGGGCGGGCTCATGGGGCGCGGGGTGCGGATTGTGGATATTGACGGCGACGGCGCCCTCGTTCACCGGTGATTCTTGGGTAATGACCTCGCGGTGCATCTCCGATTCAGGGTTCACGGCAACTGCGCCCGCCTTCACCGGCGACTCTTGGCCGAGGTGCTTCTCCTTCGGCGATTATTTGGCAACTGCGCCCGCCTTGACCGGCGACTCTTGGCCGAGGTGCTTCTCCTCCGGCGATTCTTTGGTAATGACCTCGCGGTGCATCTCCGACTCAGGGTTCACGACAACTGTGCCCGCCTTCACCGGCGACTCTTGGCCGAGGTGCTTCTCCTCCGGGGATTCTTTGGCAACTGCGCCCACCTTCACCGGCGACTCTTGGCCGAGGTGCTTCTCCTCCGGCGATTCTTTGGTAATGACCTCGCGATGCATCTCCGACTCAGGGTTCACGGCCACTGCGCCCGCCGTCACAGGCGATTCTTGGCCGGTCGGCTCTGGTTATTCATTGGTAATGAGCTCGCGGTGCATCTCCGACTCAGGGTTCACGGTCCCCGGCAGAGCATGGGTCGGAGCGTCATTAACAACATTTTCCAACCAAGAACCTGTTGACGTCTCAACGGACTCCGGAAGGGAAGAGTCCATGTCAGGAAGCTTAATTTTTTATCGCGGAAATTGGTTGGAAGCTTTTTGAGAGTTACAAATTTTGTTGGGGCCACTTACTTTATTTATACTACTGTCATCATGTGAACCTCCGCATGTGTCCCGAAAATATAAAATAACAAAAAAAAAAAAAAAACCCAAAGTAAGGCCTAAACAGTAATTGTGCGTGTGCACAGTGACAAATTAGAAGAATTACTAGACTAATATAAATATGATATAATATACTTCCATTAAAGGAACGAATTTGGAGGGAAGAACACAAAAACATCACCCATGAAAAGAAGAGAGAGGGATGGAAAGAAACCTCTTCTTACAGGAGAGGTAGTTTTGAATCTTAAAGACGGAGTTGCACCTGTGGGTGAGATTTCTTTTACTGATAATTCAAGCTGGACAAGGAGCCGTAAGTTCAGGCTAGGAGCAAGAGTTTCAGATAACTTCGATGGAACTAGAATAAGAGAAGCAAGGACAGAATCCTTTATTGTCAGGGATCATCGGGGAGAATCTGAGTGCTTCTTATTTGGTTTATTTATAAATAAATTGTCTCTAAGGTTATTGCTAGAGTACTGATACTAAGATGGAGTGTTCTTTCACTTTCCATTGTCAGCACACTCCAGAACTTACATCCATGGTGAGTTTATTCTCTTTCGCTGTCAGTAAGATGCAACGCAAGTCTCTATTGCTTTGCATGTTTTTACAAGTAACACCTAACTTGATAAGCAATGTAGTGTCTAATTTCTGCTTTAAAATTTTAACCTTTTAAAGGAAGATTATTGGAGTGGTGAGATGGCCGTGGTGGGTTAGAGGTTTATTGTTGTTATAATTAGAGGTGGTAAGTTTAAACTTCTATCAAATTTTATAGACAAGCTTCGTCAGTGCCAACAAAATCGGTAGATTTATGAGACATTGGTATTGGGTTAGCACTTGTTTCATGTTATCTAATAATTTTGTTTCTATAATATTGCAAGATGCCAATTTCCTTCCATGACCCCAGCCTGTTTCTTGGTTCTGGATTTAGGTTCCTGCATCTGTTCGGGTAAGGAGAGAGATGGCCGCCCCAAAAGCAAAAGCAAAACCTTCACTCCCAACCACAGCAGCACCTACCCAGTCAGCAACTCCTCCTGTTAAACCAGAGTCAGCAAACTCGTCGTCAGCACCAAAAGGCAAGAGCATAGATGACTCTTATATGGCTTTCCTGGAGGACATGAAGGTGCTCGGAGCACTTGAAGGTAGACATCCAGCTGGTTAGTCAGCACCAAGATAGAAACGAAGAAAGAGAAAGAACATCGAAAAAGGATGGCATGCGTGTAGCCAAAGGAAACACAAATGCACAGGCTATTGAAGTCGAGATGGAGACCGGTGGTATTCCTTTTTCTTGCCGTTGGCATCAACTTAGTTTCCTGATGCATCGTTTCACGGTGAATTCAAAACAATATCAGATGTTGAGATGGGTGTAATGGGTTAGAAATTCAGGATGTACAATTTGTAGCAATCTTTTATTTAAAATAATTTCGCACTGCTCGTTCTTACGAAGGGGTAAGCGTTGCTTGCTCTTCTTCGCAGCGTAAGAGGTTAAAAGAAGATTCTTACTATCAAAGCAATTGCGGAGCAGTTTTTCCCCATATGTTTTTGAATCCAAATGCATTTTACAATTGCGCGAACTACGGACTTCTTGTCGTGCTGAAGCAGACACAACTTCTTCTTGTTAAGCAACCTGGTATTGCCTTTGTCTGCTTGAGATCCGGGAAAAACGGTAAAACCCTAGTGACCTTTACTTGGTATGGCTGCTTTTATGCAATGTAAAAACTCAGGACTGCTGCTTCCAATACTTTTCTTCACTCTTCAATATGTTGTTTGAGGAAACCCAAAGACTAAAAATAAACCTAACAATTGAAACTTGCAACGCACGTTTACCAAAGTTTCAACACCGAAGTAAACAGGGGATGTAAACGAACTAAAGAAACTCTAGTTTTCGGTGACTAAAACGACAGTAAGTTGTATATAGAGTACGCTTTAGTGCTGTTTATCGAGCTTTGTTTTTGTTTAAAAGTTTGTAACTAGTTCTATATGTGTCGTTCTCTTAACAAGACGTTGTGTCTCTTGACATGGCAGTAGGTCGACTAGTGGTGGCAGTTGGTGCCAACGAGTTCTAGTCTTTGTAGTTGGTGCCAACGAGTTCTAGTCTTTGTTGTCCGATCACCTTACACACGTCAATAGGGTTAGATCTTAGGTTTTAATTCTCGATTCTTCCATAAAAAAACTAATTATGCAACCATGTCACAAAATAGATCAAAGTTAGTAAAGTATCATGAAGGCCGGTCGAGCAACCATGTCACAAAATAGATCAAAGCTAGCAAAGTATCACAAAGGCCGGTCGGCAAATGTTTTGCCCGTGTCGAGCAACCGGCCCTAGTGCCAATTTATCGATGACACGGGATGTTTATAAGTCGTAGGAAAACGACTTTGGTTTAAGTACATGCGCTAATATTTCTTAGTTTCTGAACAACGTTGTCGTTGACTTACTTTAGCTGACGAACAGGAAAAACACGTTAGTGAAAAAAGTCAAAAACTGACAATTAAAGACAGAGTGTTGCTGAGAAAGATTAGATGTTGTTGTTGCCAGCATCAACAACAAACGGAAAGCTTCAGGGTTGACTTTTACCAGAAAACAGGAACAAAAAGTAAAAGTTAAAAGTTAAAACTGTTTTCTCAAAGTCAACTAGTACTACTGTCTGGTAGTATTCCTTTTCGTTTGGAAGTAAAAGGTATTAAGTTTGAATCTCATGGATGAAGAAATCGATACCAAATTAGGTTGATCATTGTGTGGCTTAACCGAACTCCCCATTTCCTTAATGTAAAAATATCAATATATTCAAAAAAAAAAAACACTGTTTCGGCGATTAATTTCCCGCGTTTTGGGAGAAGAGTTTCAGCTACCTTTGGTCGTGCTAATATATGGTTCTTATAATCTGTCCAATTTTCTATGCAAACAACAGAACAAGTGGGCATCTGATTTATCTATCTTACCGACAACCCTCATCAATTCAGATAAACAATTCAGCACAAAAGTCAACCCCCAACATCTAAAAATGGCAAGTTGTTCGTAAAGCTTCATTCTTTGAATCGATGAGTTGACAAATGAGAATTTGTTAAAAGGGCTGTGAAAAGAGAGAGGGACAGTCGGACAGATATTGAAAACAAATCCATTTAGATAAACAATTCAGCACAAAAGTCAACCCCCAACATCTAAAAATGGCAAGTTGTTCGTAAAGCTTCATTCTTTGAATCGATGAGTTGACAAATGAGAATTTGTTAAAAGGGCTGTGAAAAGAGAGAGGGACAGTCGGACAGATATTGAAAACAAATCCATTTCTGCAGCTGAGAGAGAGAGAGAGAGAGAGTTTGGTTTTAGTAAGGAGGGAGAGAGATTTAAAATGATCTCCCTTTTGGAAGCTGAATATTAAAATTTTGGTCTTTAGGGGGGAGAGAGAGAGAGAGAGAGGAACATGTCGATGTGCTAATAATGGAGAAGCATACCAGGAGAAGATGGGGGTGACTGGATTTGCAGAATGTTGATAATTCAGTGAACTTTTAATTTGAATTTCTCTAAGTCAATGAAAGCAACAGTGTGGCTAATCGGATTCTCTTAAAGTAGATTAAAAGGAAGAGAATTTATACAGGAGGGACAGGAAAACAATCATTTCATCTTTTTCTCTCTCCCCTCTCTTACTCTCTCTCTCTCTCTCTCTCTCTTTCTTCTGGTGTGGGGATGGGTAGAGTTCTTGCCATTGGCATTCTCCTTTGCAGCTTGCTGCTGCTGTTCAATCCTTCAGCGTCACATCCTTTATGTATTGATTCAAGTGGGTTTTTCTCTATACTTCCTTTTTGTTAATTTTGTATTGCAAAGTTTGCTGCTTTACATTCGAATCCTCTTCCCAGCGGTTTAGATTAGTTCAAAGAAAAATATCGCTCGTATTAAAATGGTTTAGTTGATTGCAGGGGCACCTTCTACTCTGAGTGATCCACTCAAGTTTTGTCCTTACAATGAAACTGCTTGCTGCAACTCCACTGAAGATTCAATAATCCAGAAGCAATTCCAAACCATGAACATCTCCAATTCTGACTGTGCTTCCCTTTTGAAATCAGTACTTTGTGCAGTAAGTCCTTTTCTTTCCCTTTTCTATGTTTCCGCAAGAGGTTTGTAGCTCAAGTGAGTAGGAGCGTTTATCCAAGTATTGGTTGTATAAAAAAAAATACAACGTTTCCAATTTTAAAATTCTGTACTTATAGTGAGACCATGATGCATAAAAACCTTCAATTCCTGATTTCTTTTCTGTCATGGTTTTTAGAGGTGTGATCCGTTTTCGGGTGAGCTTTTTACCGTTGATTCTGTGCCTCGCCTTGTTCCGGTTCTTTGCAACTCAACTGTTTCATCAAATTCATCCCAGTCTAAAGAAGCAGTGACCAATTTTTGCTCTAACGTATGGGACACATGCCAAAACGTGTCCATTTTGAACTCCCCCTTTGCCCCTTCATTACAAGGTGGAGTGCCTGCCAAGAACAATGCTAATGATCTAACTGAACTTTGGCAATCAAAATCCGATTTCTGCAGTGCATTTGGTGGAACCTCGAGTGACGAATCAGTATGTTTCAATGGCGAACCGGTCACACTAAATGATTCGAGCACTCCCATCCCCCCACATGGTTTGTGCCTTGAGAAAATTGGAAATGGATCTTACCTTAACATGGTTGCTCATCCGGATGGCTCCAACCGCGCATTTTTCTCGAACCAGCAAGGCAAAATTTGGCTGGCAACAATTCCTGAAGAGGGATCAGGAGGAGTAATGGAGCTTGGTGAGTCAAGTCCCTTTATGGATCTAACCGATGAGGTTCATTTCGATACTGCATTTGGAATGATGGGGATGGCGTTTCATCCCAATTTTGCTCAAAATGGCCGGTTTTTTGCTTCGTTCAACTGTGATAAGGTTAAGTGGCCAGGATGCACTGGAAGATGTTCGTGTAATTCAGATGTCGATTGTGATCCATCGAAGCTAGTTTCGGAAAATGGTGCTCAGCCATGCCAGTACCAAACTGTTATCGCAGAATATACTGCTAATGGTACAGCATCCCAGCCTTCCTTGGTACACCTCTACATACACTCTTTTATCAATTTCGGTTACTTTGACTCGCTGATTGCTTTAAGTTTTCATACTTCCTGTGGTGCTTTTTTTTTTTTTTTTTTTTTTCTCGTGAAAACTGACCACAATGCTCCTCCCAATGGATTCTACTGCCAGGCAACGAGTGCCAAACCATCGGAAGTAAGGAGGATATTTACCATGGGCCTTCCTTTCACATCTCAGCATGGAGGACAGATACTCTTTGGACCGGAAGATGGGTACTTATACTTCATGATGGGAGATGGTGGCGGTGTAGGAGATCCATACAATTTCTCTCAAAACAAGAAGTCTTTGCTCGGAAAGATTATGAGGCTCGATGTTGATAACGTACCAAGTGAGTATCAGCATCTCTGTTACCAAAATCAAACTGTAACCTATTGCACATTTGATAACCTTGCAATGTATTTTCAGGTGCAGCAGAAATTGATAAACTTGTTCTATGGGGAAACTACTCCATTCCCAAAGACAATCCATTCGCCGAAGATCCAGAACTGAGGCCGGAAATTTGGGCTGTAGGACTAAGAAATCCGTGGCGCTGCAGTTTCGATTCAGAAAGGCCTTCCTACTTTATATGCGCAGACGTCGGGGAGGTATAAATTTAATTTTTCACCTGTAAGTTTTTTGCATGCAATTCCTGTCTGCCAGAAGACCCCCAAGTCCTCGAAATGTTCCGTTTTTCGACATGAACTAAAGAGAAATACACTCTTTCCTCCCCATGACATTACGTCCTCTTGACACTGATTTGCTTATCTAACAGAATCTGTATGAAGAGGTGGATGTGATCACCAAGGGTGGAAACTACGGCTGGCATTTCTACGAAGGCCCGTACGATTTCACTCCTCCAAAGTCACTTGCTGGAAACACATCCACAAAACCTACAGACACAATTTTTCCCATCATGGGGTACAACCATTCTGAAGTGAACAAGAAAGAAGGTTCGGCATCTATAACCGGGGGCTATATCTATCGGTCTGAGACTGATCCCTGCATGTATGGAAGGTAACCGAAAATTGTTCTTTCTCCTCTCGAAACTTGACCAAGCTAGAGAACTGAAGAATTTTCTTGGACTACACATTTTTGCACTAGTACTATTGAACTATTGATCTTGATAAAATTTTGATCTTCAGGTATGTGTATGGAGATTTGTACGCTAGTGCAATATGGGCAGGCTCCGAAGATCCAGAAAACAGCGGGAACTTCAGCTCGAGCAAAATCCCTTTCAGCTGCGCGCGTGACTCTCCGATAGCTTGCAGCTCTGTCCCGGACAGTAGTCTTCCAGCACTAGGCTACATTTTCTCATTCGGGGAGGACAACCGCAAGGACATCTTCGTTCTAGCCAGCAGCGGCGTTTACAGAGTTGTTCGGCCTAGCCGGTGTGGTTACACATGCTCAAAGGAGAATGCGACGGCCGGTGGTTTGCCTAAATCTCATGCTTGCTGGTTAAGCCACCCATCTAAGAATGCAGTGCTCATGTTTTCTTCTCTAGTGTTGCTTCTCCTCAGTTTTGTCTAGTATTTTGTAGACTTTTGGTATCATGTGATGGGGTGGATGTTTCATTGTTTTGTGCCATAAAAATTTCAGAACTTTTCTTTGTAATTGTATGTTTTAAGTGTTAAAATGGGAGATTTTATCTCTATTTCCGGAGAACTTTTACGTGTATTGGGAATACTTGTCATGTAATGTATCATTTCATATGTTATACGATGGCTTATACACCAATGGACCACAAGATTCATAAGTCATATTTTCAACACATTAAAATTTAAAAAATACATGTATGAAAATTTTAGTTGAACAAAAACACAAAGTGGCAGTGTTCTTAGTGCATAAAAAATTGCCCATATTTGTAGTGTTTCTTGCAAAAACCAAAAAAAAAAAAAAACAAAAAAACAAAAAATGGGAATAAACTGATGAACCATTGCATTACGTTATTATTTAATCTAAAAGAAGATATTTCATTCTAAATTACTTTAATAAAAAAATTAAACAAAAGTGTAAAAAAATAGATACAACTGATCAGATTCACATTTATTTATAAAATCTTAAATTAAATTAAATTTGTGTAATTTTATCCTTTTTATATAATCTCTTATATCTCCACTGCAGCCCTAATATCCAAAGCACAAATATTTAAATGAATTAATTAACCAATTTTCCCAAAATTCATAATAATACCAATATTAACAAGAAAATAATAAACCCCTGAGTGGTATGTGAATGGTGGTTTGGAGCTTTTGGTCCCTTCTCCTCCTCCATGCCCTTCTTCTTCTCTCTCCTCTGTGTTTCTCACTCTAAAAAACCAAAAACGAAATTAACCCACAAACCCTAACCCCCAATGTTGCTGATCCTCTACATGTAATCTCTAAACCCACTTTCTTTCTTCGATCTCCCCAAAACCATGTCTCTGGAATCTTCCCGTCCTCCGATCCCAGCCGTCCGATCCTCGCCGGAGCCCCTACAGCAAGAACAACCCCCTCAGAACGAAAAAGCGACATCAGCCCCGGCCCCCACGCCTCCCCTGTCCAGGAGCAACCGCCCCTCCCGCGCCTGCACCATACGCGCCGCCGCTCGGATACAGCAACAGTTCCAGCAGCAGCAGAACCAACCCGCCGAGAAACGGCGAGCCGTCAACAAAAAGGAACAGCAGCAGCAGCAGCAGAGAGACGACGAGTCGTCGTCGCCGCAATGCAGCAGCGCCAGCAAGATTGTGACGCCGCTGGTGGGACCTCCTCCGCCCTCGCAATTGCCGCGCTGGACCCTCCGCTCCATGTGGGAATTGGCTTCCCTACTCAATTTCTTGCACGTGAGCTCTCGAAAGCTTCGATTTTTTTTCCGTTTTAGGGTTTTGTGGTTGGTTTCATGGTGTTTGAGGGCTTATGTGTTTTTCGTTTTGTTGTGTGCTTCTCAGGCTTTTCGGCCGCTGCTGAATATTTCGGCTGAGTTCTCGGTGGAGGAGTTGGAGACGGCTTTGATCACACCAAACGATACTTTGAGTGACATTCACATTCCATTGTTGAAGGTTGGTCGAAAAGGCTTGTAACTTTGTGCATTGTTAGTTTTCATGAGTTCATATTTAGTATAAAGCTTGTAAATTTTTAGTTTTTATTGCTTAAAGTTCAGAAGCATTTCTTCGGAAAGTTAAATTCGCTTAGCAGTCCCATTTAGAGTTTTCATAGCTTGTTTCTTAGTGGAAAACTTCGTCTGTACATAAGCTTTAGGTCCCCTTTAAATGTAGGTAGGAATGAAGTCAGCTGCTTTCTAGGAGGTGATTATTTCTGCTATTAAAATTGTTTTAGGGATCTTCCAACTGTTATTGGATGTCCCCGAAGGGGCGGTTTTCTAATTGTTAACAGCAACCTCAATTCATGAAACACCTTAACACTCGAGTCCTTGGCGTTTCAAACAACTCTTTGAAGCTCAAAGAAATCCGTATAAAAGAAGAGTTTGGAGGTTTCTTTTAGGCAACACGCTTATGGTGTGATTGGAGTGGTTTGTATCAGCTGTTGTTAAATATTCTGTGAAAATATTAATGCAAGTGACATGTATCATGTCATATAATCTCGAATGACTAAACTTTTAGTCTTTTATGGGATAATTTTTGTTTGAGTCTTGTCTAAATTTCTGCAGAAGACATGTCCTATGCGAGGACTAATGTTGTAGTCAATCCTTTACCAAAGACTAATGTGGTTAGACAAGTTGGCTTAAGTTAATCAAAACCATTACCCCAATGGTTAAAGTTGATTATGTGGATCCTCTTTCTTTTGCCCCCCATCTAAGACCATCTTTGCTATTAATTCTTTGTTACTCAGGCCTTCTTCAATTCTATCATCTGTTTTTCTCTGTATACGTGAACTTAATTACTTATTCACACTAGCGCATAGCCACTGCTATTTCTATCGTGGTAGAGGATCGTAGTCATGGTTACAAGTTTATTGATTATATATTACTCATTGTCTACTTATTGTTCACGATTTAATTGAACTTTTCAGAATATGTCAATACTCTTGAAAAGGAAGGATCTCTTGGCCAGATGATAATTTTTATGCTTTAATCTATTTATTTGGTAATTTTTGGGTTTCAAAATCGTAATAAGTCTGGAATTTTAAGTTTTTCCATTGTATTGCATAAATGTGGATGCTTTAAGTCATATTGTTGCTAATGGAGTAGAAAATGTCTCCTTGTAATATAATCTTATATAAACCGTGGAATTCTGATGTTGCTGGAAAATTAATGTTTTGTTGATAGTTTGTCAATGCAACTGCTACTGGCTTGCCCCTGAATTTTAATTGGTTTATTCTACAGGCAATTCCTCCAATTACGCGAATGGCACTTACACGTGATACTTGGGTCACTGTTTTATGCAGAAAGTTGAGAGACTGGTGGCATTGGGTAACTGTACTCGTATACCTAGTTTTTGGCAATATTTTGGCTGGTGCCAATTTGTTTTGTATTTCTGCGGAATCATATTAATTAATTTGGATATCTAATTGCAGGTTGCAGAGGGGGATCTACCCATTGTTGCTTCACATGGGTGAGCAGTCATGTGTATTTGTCTATTCTTACATATGAATCTTTTTCATTTATAAAAATGTCAAATCATGCTAATTTGATAGGGCGGAGATTGAGGCATATAAAACACTTGAGCCTGGGGTCCGTGTGGTCATCTTGAAAGCACTTTGTGATATCCGCGTTGAGGTATTGCTATTGTTAATAAGATTTAAACTTGTTATTGATTTTCTGTAAAAGTTAATGTAGATTCATAGAATCTGTTGAATATTTATTAGTAACCTTTTGGTCAACTGCCTAAGCAAGATGATAGTCTGTACGTCCAAACTCTTAATATAGAACCACTACTTTAAAATTGAAATGAAAAATCTATTGAAGACCCAATGCATGCTTCCAAGCAGGTGTCCCCTCTAATAGGTGATAACAGGGATTCCCTATCAAGTCCTTGGATAATACCAAAGACTTCACATGTGCTGATAACCAAGATGATAGTTCGGTTTCTACATTTACATAGTATTTTTTTAATATTCTTGAGAGTTTTTTTTTTTTCAGAATTGAATCTTAGAATTACGACATTGAAATCATGATTTTTAACTAGAAAATTGATTTGGTATTACCTACTTCCTGGATCATGTTTCTATGCTTCTGTTACTCTACGAGAAGGGTTAAATCTGAGTGATGTATTGCAGCAAGAAGATATTCGGAACTATATTGACAACTCACTGAAGCATGGAGTTCAACTTTCAGCATTTCGCAAAGAACGTGTTGGAGGTGATTCACAAGGAATATCTTACTGGTAATATAATGAAGTTTCTTATCATATCCATATTAGTTTACTTTTGTTTGGTTCGTATGAAATGTTCATCAAGTATCCTTTCCACTGTTGTAGAGATATAGTACAACTCTCTTTTTGGAGGGTTTTTGTGTAAAATGTAAATTGAACTGTTGCGTTTGAGTGTTTCTTTACTGGGTGTTTGTGGTTGCTGCAGGTATGAAGATGATCCAATAATTGGTTATCGGTTATATCGGGAGATCAGGAAGGTTGATATGAAGAAAGTAAAAGGAAAAGGTTCCCATGTCCTCCCTAGTGCGTCATATCAGTGGGAAACAGTAGCAACCAATTTCGATGAATTCCAAGATGTTTCTGTAAGATACTAAATTTCTCAGCCCATCTGTATGTGCTTTTGTGCCCTGTATTAATATTTCCTTGCACACTTTTAGAGTTGAACTTTTGACTTGGTTTGTATTCAAGTATTTCTGGGATCGGAAACCTCTGAAACCAATAATGTTGAGGAAACAGATGCATATGCATAGATTATGAAACAAATAATGTTGAGGAAACAGCATTAGATTTATCAGATTCTATCTTGTATATGGGAGATAACATATTCAAGAAAAGTGTATTGTTAATACTTTGGATGAATTTGTTGCTGCTCCAAATCTAAAAGCATCTACTGTCGCAGGAGAAACTTTTCTCGAGTAAGAATAGAACGGAGGCTTCTCTAGGGAAGAAGTTGAAAGGAGACATGCTTGCAGAGATTGAGAAGGTTCACAAGGTATGCAACAGTGATAGTTGACCCACCTTTCAACCTTCTTAGGTTTATGTCTTCTATGTGGATGAAGAATAATTTTCCAAATAAAGATTCTTTAGCAAAAATTGTATCACATATACTATTTTTACAATTCTACTTGCACAGAGGAAAGAAAGGCAGATGAAGAAGCAACACAGACAAGCTCTCCTCCTTGATAATTTTTTGACTGTGGATGGGCTTGGTCCAGGGCGCTCTCTTCGTGACAGAAAACCTGTAACCTACACTTTTGGTAAGGAAACAAACTTCTACCTTTGTTTTCGTTTTCCCAATAACAGTTGCTCTGCTTAAAAGCCAATCTTGTACCAACCATAATAGAGGATTTAACCATTGAGATCTTGGGTGTCATTCTGTTGCATATTGAATAACTCGACACCGGTTATTGTTTAAAATAATAATTAGAGAAATGTGGCTGTTGGTGAGGCACCGGCTTACGTGGTTGTATTTCTGGATTACTGGTGATGGATTGAGATCAACTGATCAGATTAACGTATTATCAAATGTGGTCTAGTGATACAAATTCCTAATTGATTGCTTGAGCAATATCCCGTGGTTACTCTTGAGCAATATGCCTTACTCTTGAGAAATATCCCATGACTTTTATATCTGAGTTTTACCTGAATGCTCTAGATTTTAACAGCAACTCTGGGAATTCAAGGATGGCCACATCAGGGCAGAATGTTTACACTTACTGTTATTCCCATGTGTCAATGGGTATATGGAATCTGATTGTTTTGTCAAATAATTTTGCAGATGATTATGACCGGTCCATCAATGAGGCAATCAAAGTAACCAAGTATGGGTTTCATGCTCTCTCTCTCTCTCTCTCTCTCACTCTCTCTCACACACACACACACACCTTTTAATACCAATATATAGGACTTTTGACTTATTTTTATTGTTCTTCTGTGTCAGAAAGAAGCAGCCATCTCCGGATCCTTTACAGAAACGAGAGCTAGTTGGGAGACCTGAAGCTTCTAGTAATGGTAAATGGAGTGCTACTACAAATTCCTATGAACATGTAGGATTTAGTGCTGCATCGCCTAAATCACCTGATTATGATGATGATGATGATGATGATGATGGCGAAGAAGATAACAAGTCTGAACAATTGGATCGAAGGTGAGCAAGTTTCTTCTTTTTCTTATTAAAATGTTTGTCTTCAGTATTCTTTAAATCCTTGAACTTTTTTATAGATTGATTTTTACTTATTACATGTAGCAATCGGCGAAGACAGAGGCCCCAACGGTATTCTGCGAAAGACTTTGTTGAAGCAGTTTCAGATAATGATGCAGACTTTGACAGTGATGATGACATAGTTGGTGAGGCTGTATACGATGAGGAATACTTGAAGAAACGTAAAGAGAGAAGAAAGTTTTCTAGTAGCTCTGAAGGAGATGAGGAGTATCATTTTGAGGAAGAAAATGCTGAAGAAGAGGAAGAAGAGGAAATGGAAGATTCCGCAAGTGCCAGTGAGGATAGTGATGAACCCCGAAAATTTAAGAAGTTGCCAGGCCGTACTAGGAGGGAAGCTAAATTGAGGTCTGTTGGTGAGCTCCAGTCAGGTTTGAGACGCAGTAAGAGGGCCACCAGAAATCGTATTGATTATCGACAATATGAGTTCTCAGAGTCGGAACCGGAGCCTATGAAACCTGAGAAATCAAATGCATCGGATGGACATTATGATGCCAGTGAAAACGGGGATTATTCAATGGAAAGTCATGATTCAGATGGTAATATTGAGGACCAAGAAATGAAAGTTGGTCAGGCAGTTGAAAATTACCCTGAGACAACAGTTGAGAAAGAGCAAAACCAGCCACCTGAAAAACCAAATAGCCCAGGGGAAGATGAAGTCGAAGGTGTACAGAAAAGACGTTTCCTCGACCTAAATGAGCTAGCCCCTGGTTCAGGTTTTGACGACGGTCCAAACTCAATAATGAAAGATGATGCGGATGATTTGTGATTGGAGGCTTCCTCCCCTGCTGGATAGCACAGGTGTGATTTGCAAGGAAGCCGAGGTGTACGATTGTAAAATTTATAAATTTTGTGCGTTATTCCCATGGAGAAAGCTGCGGCCAGAGTTCTCCTAGGTGTATTTACGCAGCAACAACCTTGGTGCGAGATTTGCAACAAGGTAGCGACATGAGGCGGAGAGGTATGTAGATGAGATAGTCATTTTTTTTAGTATGTCAACGTCGAAAGGAACCTATGGAGCTAGGACCGGTGAATGGAAGAAGTTGTTTGGGAGTTGCTTAGTTCATCCGATCAATGTACAATAACCCTCAGCTAAATATTGTAACTGAAAGATTTGGCCTTAGATGTTAAAAGTCGAAATCAGTTGTAGTATAGTATTATTATTATCTCTCGTGCTCGTGTATCCGCCGATATGGTGATCTCCCGTGCAAGTCCGAGAGCATATTAGGGTTGGCTGTGTTGTAATGGAACCATCCTCCCTCCCTTAGAAGGTAACTGCTCTTATCTTGTATTCAGATTGGCTTATTTCTTATTTGTCATTTCATTTTACCAAAACTTTTAGATTTCTTAGCTCTTTCTCGGCACAGTTTCAAGTCACCGGTGACTATCTCAGAGTCCGGGAGTGCGTTATGCACGCCGGCGCTCCTGCACCGGAGTCTGGAGTTTATGAGTGGAGCACGAAAAGCTCTGCTCTGAAATGCCAGCATACGTGTGGCATATTTGAAATGCGAACATTAGTTTTCATATGATTCTACGTATCTTACTCAACTTTCGATTTTTAGCCATTTTCTTCCTATTGTTTATTTTCTTCATATTTAATCCAATTTTCTGTTGAATGAAGGCATTCGCATGTTCTGCACATAACTTTATTTTGGATGAAATGTGGACAATATCAAGGGAAATTGGTTAAAAAAATTAGTTTTTCAGAGGGAAAATCGAAAGTCCAGGACAAGTTTAAGGTAGATTTCAGCGGTTTACTCTCTTATTTAGTGTTTATTTGGAACTGTTTTTAAAATTGTTAAAAATGTTTTTTGTGAAAATATTTTTGGAACCAATCATTAATAAAAGAGTAAAGCAATTCTTACCATAATTTTATATCACATTTTTTTACCATCTTAGGTGGCAGATGAGTTATATAAGCTATATCATTTAATTTCAATCTTTTTATTAATTAAAACACTTAAATAATCTTAGGTGAAAGTATGAGACTCTTGGTATACGACAATCATCATTTAATTAACAATTTTTTATATTAATTATTGATTAATATTTTGAAATTAATGCTAATTAATTTAGATAATGTGGCTGTCCACATCAAATGTCATCTAAGGTGGTATACAATTGTGGTACAAAAATATACAAGTGAATCCTGAAAAATTACTTGAAGTGTTTTCTATAAAAAGCACATAACTGGTGCTTCTTGTAGGAAGCGCTTTTAGTGCTTTTAGAACCCAAAAACACTTTCAATCATTTCAAAAATACTTTCAAATGATTCCTAAATGTATACTCATCTTAGCACGAGTAGTTTAGGGATCCAAATAGTAAGTGTAGAGAAGCTATCACCATAAGGTCTAATGTTTGGATATAACAAAGGAAACGCTTCTTTCGTTTTCAACAAGTCGATATTCTAACTGGTTTTGAAAATACTATTGAACTCAAAAGTTACTGGGCATACGGGTACTGCTATTCGCATACTTATTTTTACTTCTCACACACGTCTTTCAATTTCCGGCTATAGAATCAAATAGATTGAAGAAGATTAATAAATAAAAATTAATATAAGGATGCGGAAAGTAAAAAGACGTGTGTTGATAACCCTGCGCTACCAGGAAATGTCTTTGTCTAAGCATCATTCTTTTCCCAAACACACGAGAGCTATAATTGATTATTGGAAGAAAATGACAAGAGAATTGAAACATCATAAGAAAGTTTGAATAAATAATGTTCAAGGAGGAGAGCCAAGCCAAAAGCCAGCTCATTCTTTATAATGCCTTTAATATTATGTTCCTATGATGGAAAAGAAAAGATTCATCATGTCACACATTAAAAAATCAAGCTTACTATTTTCATGTAAAAGTTGTCCTATGCCCGATACCCACCACCACGTTATAAGCTGAATTGGAAATTTCAATCTATTTCCATTTTGAGTTCGAATATTTTTGAAATTTTGGATGGTGATTGAAATGTACCTACTGATTCAAAATTCTGAAATTTTGATCTTTAATTTATCAAACTTAGTACTATTTATTTTTATTTTTTTGTTTGCTACCTGCTCAGAGTGAGGGGGGTGCCGTACTAACATGAATAGCTTATGGCATGCTTAGAGTGATCTCACCAACATATGGTGATAAACAGATTTCAACCATCATGCCTCACTTGGACCCAGACTCCATCACCAATTAATCACTTTAATGTCCTACTTAGTTACAAGTCTATGCTATCAGGTTCGGCCTCAAATGTAGTACTATAAATAAAACCCATACATATTCTTATTTTAGCATGTTCATTATTATATTTAGCTATACTTTATTTGAATTTTGTATATTTAATCATACTATTATATATTATAAATAAGGAATATAATCATACGTACTATTTTATCTTGTCTATATGATTTTATGTCATATACACATAAATGCTTACAAATATTGCAAAAAATTGAGAAAAAATATTGAATTCCATTACAAAAGTTTGAAGATTTCAAAGTCTGGCAAAATATAAGAGATTAGAATTATGTTTCAAAAACTCTGACCTAAAATTGATTTCGAAATTTTTGATAATCTAAAACTCCGAAATTGGAACTAATATTTGATTTCGTAACTTTTTTAATTGGTATTGGAATGCTTGTTTCCGATTTGAGCCGAACAAAAATTATCCCTAACCACCACTATTTAACGAGAGATTTTTTCAAATACCAAGTATTCAAGTGATACTTCACATATTATAATACAAATGAAGAAAATAACATATTTTTCTGTATCCCTCCATTTATTTTATAACAAGTGAAGTACTCGCTTGAATCCTAGACGCTTTGAAATATTCCACTCCGAAAAACAACAAAAAAAGTTTTCCTGGATTCCGGTTGGCATAGGCCCGTGGTGGGCTTCGATTGCTTTAAACCATCTGATTTTTTTATGGTACTTTTTTGGGTTTTATCTGATGAATTAGTCTAAACTGTTGCATCACAACTCAGCAAGTCAGCGAGTCGGTGAGATTGGAAAACGACTTGTACTCGTACATGTACATTGCGGTCGCAACTGTAGCATCATGTGTTAATAATATAACAAAAATGTGTAATAATAATAATGTACTCGTGTTATATAAGTTGTTTACGATAATAGAGTTAGAGCAGGGCCGACCTTAAGGGTAACCCAAGTAAGCGCCTGCCTAGGGCCCCTAAAAAAAATTTATAACATATAAATACAAAAAAAAAAAAGTAAGAAATATCATAATTCATTTGTTAGTGCAGTAGAAATGTTGGCTTCATTTTTCTTTTAGGGTGTTGAGTTCAAAACACGAAACTATCTTTCAATCACTAGATTTTTCTTGTTTTTCAAATTTATTGCCGATGTTGAGTTCGAAACACAAAGCTGTCTTTCAGTCACTAGATTTTTCTTGTTTTTCAAATTTACTTCCAATCCATCTGTCCAAATGCATATAAAGTTATAAAACTCAAGTCTCTTTGCAATTTTTTTTTTCAACTTCTCATTCTCTCCATTTCTATCGAATGTTCAAACCAACTTCTCATTCTCTCTATTTCTATTGAATGTTTAAACCAACTATCATATGGTCTTAAAGATTGTACTTTAAGGTAATCAAAACTTTGAATTTATATTTTTCTTTTCAATAACTTTTTATTCTTTTAATATTCAATTCGTTAGTGTGATGTTGAATTTAAACGAAAAAAAAAACACAAGAGAAACAATTGGCGTTGAATTTATTATACTCGTCAATCAAGTTTTATTGTTATTTACTCTCTTGATCATCAAGTTTTATCGTTCTTCACTCTCAATCTTAGATTGTTGACTGCAAACATTTAGTACATTTGTGTCTAAAAACGTGAATCATGTAATGTTTAAATAATGTTTTTATATTTATCTTCTTTTGATAGTAATTTTTAATGATATTTGATGTGAAAATAGAACTTTTTACGTATTTAGCGAATTCTTTTTTATACAAATCAATATACAAAGAATCGGAAATCCGAGAATTTTAAGGTCCCACTTCGAAGGCTCGCCTAGGGCCCCCAAATTCTCAGGACCAGCCCTGTGTTAGAGTATAGTATAGATTGGATCGGATCACTTTGGTGAGAGAAAAGTGGTGTAATTGTGTGGCCACTGCATAAAGTGGCTTAATTTCTTTCGAAATGGATGAGTTTTGGGTTCACTTTCGTTCGCCCGGTGAAACAAGAAAATCCAAAACGATCATCAAGCAACCAATCCATGGAAACTCCACATCACTCATCACGTGGTCTTTTGTCCTTTCACTCTTCCATCTATCATGCCTTTTTTAAGTTTTGTATTTGGTAGTGTCTCATTAGCTTTGTGTATCGTCCCCATGTTTGGTCGAAAAGCTGAAATTCATTAAACTTAAAACCTATTACAAAGTCTCACAACGGCTCAAGACAAACAGTGGGAGGTCCAATTCCACACCAACAAAGTAAGAGGAGAAGGATGGAGGGCATAAGAACAGGAGAGACGTCGAAAGACGCCCGGAAAAACGACGATAAGCGTCGAGAAAGCATGCTCACAACTCTCGAACCGGCAGAGGTAATTTTGGAGCGGTACCAAAGCTTTTTGATGGAGAGAGGGAGTGTTTTGGAGTGTCCGCCACATATTTTGGTTGGACGAAAAGGAAAAATATATTTTTAAGTCGTACCAATGGGAGTCAAAATGTGTTAGAGCACTCCTACAAAACTTTATGTACTTGTTATTGTTAACAAAAACAACTTTACTTATTATTATATCACCCAAATTAAAAGTGAGCAAAAGTTTTGGATTAGATCAACTCTAGTTACAATCTTTTTGTTTGATTTAATTAACTCTGATCCCTCCCTCCAAACATTTAATAATTTAATTCATTAACGCTATTGTTAGTAAAAAATAAATTTTGATCTGACTATTTTTTTTTTTCCCTCATTGAAGTATGAGTATATAGTGACAAATTGCTAAAAGTGGTGGTAGCCCCTGACAATGCTTTTGCCATCGCATCCGAATAACCTCAAAAGACTAAGTTTTATAATCACCATTTTAGTAAAGTATGCATCTTCAAAGAAGATCAAAGAAAAAAAATTTCTAATCATCGAATCGAATGATTCGAAGAAGATGAAAGAATAGAAATTAACAATAAAAGGTGTTTGGATTAGATCAACCAAATGAAAAAATAAGCGAAAAGGCTTTGGGTTAGATCAACTCTAATTAGAATGTTTTTGCTTGAACTCTCAACTTTTTTTATCCAAATAATGAGATTAGTAATCTTAATTGACATCATCAAACTCAAAAACCCCAAATAATCACCCACTTGCCCTAGCTGCCCTAATTATATTGGCAACCAAATCTCTCTTACCTTCAACCTCTTTGTTTCCTCCTCCCTCCTCCTCCTCGACCGCCACCTCATCCTCCTTGCTTGTATCAATCTCTTTGATCTCCTCATATTTTTTCTTTGCAGCTTCCCCCTTCACTTCCTCAAGAGCTTGGATAAAATTCAAAAGACATTTCTCCGGATCATCATTTGGTGACTTTGGCATGAGATTCTCAGCAACGTCGGCCGGGGTCATTTTCGTCACTCCCATCAGCTTTTCTATCTCATCAAACGTCTCATGCCTCTCAATCCTCAAGTAATTCTTGGCCAAAACCCTAAACCCATCAAAAGTACAGTAAGAAAGGGCAATGTGTTTGTCCATTCTACCCCTCCGAATCAATGCTGGATCAAGCTTCTCAACATAATTAGTAGTAAAAACAACCAGCCTCTCACCTCCGCAAGCAGACCATAACCCATCAATGAAGTTCAACAGCCCCGAAAGCGTCACCTTGCTGCTGCCGCCGTACACTTCCTCTTTCGGCTCCTTAATCCGCTCCTTCCAGGCTCCTCCACCTTTCACCTCCTCCTCCAGAAAACCCTTCTCCGCCGCCCCCCTCTTCTTCATCTGCCCTGTCAAATCAAGCGAACAGTCTATGTCCTCGATCACAATAATACTCTTACTCGTCGTCTCAATCAAAAGCTTCCTCAGCTCCGTATTGTCCTTCACTGCGGTGAGCTCTAAGTCATAAATATCGTACCCCAACAGATTCGCCATCGCGGCTATCATCGTGGACTTCCCGGTCCCCGGAGGACCGTACAGCAAGTAACCCCTCTTCCAAGCTTTCCCAATCCTTGCATAAAAGTCCTTGCTTTTGCTGAAAGTCACCAGATCTTCGATGATCTCCTTCTTCTTCTCCGGATCCAACGCCATTGTCTCAAACGTTGCCGGGTGCTCGAACACAATGTGGCTCCACATCGTCTGCTTGTAGCTCGGCCATTTGTACCCCGGACTATTTGTGTACAGCTTCCTCTGCCGATTTCTTACACGGATCTCCTTCCCTTCATTAACGACATGGTTTAAATAGTCCACCGTGATTATGTCCCGGTACTTTTTGTGAAAAGTCAACTTGTAAAATCGTTTCTCCTGGTCGGGATAATAGGCCATGGACATAGATCTCCCGCCAGGGGACACGGATTTGAACAAAACCCACCAGACTTTGGTCCCCCTGAAATCATCCGTCGCTCTCTCGTACTCGTCCATGCTGAGGATGAGGTTGCCGCTGTCCTTCACCATCTCCGCCTTGAGCCGCTTGGCGCTCTTGGAGGTGTTGGAGCTGAGGTAGGCCTCCACAGCGGAGTAGGCCTCGCTTCGCTTGAGGCGATCGCCGGTGAACTCGTGGATGGAAATTTCGATGTAGGGGTAGAAGTAGCCGGTGACTCTGTGGGAGTATCGCTCCAGGAAGTGGCGGAGTTCGTACGGACAGTACTGGCGGATGATTGCCCAGATGAACATGAAGCTTGCTAGGGTTGAGCCCATTGTTGCCCACATCTGCTGGCTCATCATTGTTGGTGGCAACATTTCTGAAGCTTGCTAGGTCTTGTTTTAGAGTTTGGGATGGGGCTGTCTAGGGTTTCACTGGCTAAACTCTGCACCTTTAATTTTCATGGTTTTTGTGTTGATGATCAGAATGGGGACTGTGAATACAAAGGGGTAGGTGGATAATGAGATGATGGTGGAGCTTATAAACAAGATCAGCTAGTCCTACGAGGAACCTCCTTTTTGAAAAAAATCACATTCACAACGTGATTACTGGCTTTTTACGTATTTGCCAATTATAATTTGACATATATAGAATGAAAAAAATTTCATTTAATATTACAGTAAAAAACACTATGTTAGAATGTGATTTGTATGTGACTATTAGATTTTTCTTAGAGAAGTGATTTTAACATATTTTTTTTAGCTTCTCACACATCTTAGTATAATCTCAACTATTGATTTCGTTTGATTTATTCAATCTGGTGACCATAAATAAAGAAGGATGTGTAATAAGCAAAAAGTGATTTGTTAAAATCACTTCCTTCTTTCATTCAACAATTGGCGTCCAGGCAATATGATTAAACAACTAGATATCTTACATTACTCGTGAACCAACTTACATTACTCGTGAACGAATATGGTCAAAATGTGTCAGGTGCGAATTATGTACGTTAGATAAGTTGATCAGGTTAATATGTCACCCTGTTTGCACACAAGTCCGAATTTACACAAGTGGGGCCACCTATAGGCTTAAATGATACAGAAGTACATAGAGGTCTTAATTTTGTGTGGCTACCATCTTAAATTAGAATAGTTTAAAATATTATGTTTCAATGGATGGTCACAATGTGAACCTTTTAAACATTTTTGTATAAACAAGTGACAGAAAGCAAGCAAAATAATGTAAACAAATTGGCAAAGAACAAGTTCGCAAAGAGAGATGGGGGAGACGAGGATTAGAACAATCTAAAATTAGAGGATTACACTGATTGTTTGGTGGGTCTACGTGCAGTGTGCACCAAATTAATTAAAGTACCTGCATGGGATGGGAGGTGACTAATCCAACGCTAAAAAGAGTCAATTATTGAACACGTGTCACGCACATAAGACACTCAGACGAAAGAAAGTGGGTCTCCGAATGGGATTAGAAATATTGGAGGGACTTTGATCAATTGTTTATGAAACAAAATGATAACTTCATAAGGAGATTTTTTTAGTGTATTAAAAACACGACCCAGTACATCACGTATCACAATACAAGTAGTTAGATATATAAAGAAGAAAAAAAATCTAACTATTTACAGTATGACACTTAGGCCACGTTTGGTATTGTTTTTCTTTTTTTTTACTAAAAACTGTTTCACTTTAAAGTTAAGTAGTAAAAAAAATGTTTGCTAAAAATAATAGATAGTAAGAAAAATGTTTGGTAAAATTAATATATCTTGCTTATTTTAATAACAACGGGCTCCATACAATAGCTTTTAAAAACGATACGTAGGTTGCTTTTAAAAGCTACTTTAATAAAAATTAGAGTTGAGTTTTTAATAAATATATTCAATTGTTGTAGACCTTCATTAATTCTTTTTAAGTGACATTATTTAGCTTTCCACACACATTTTTTCCTTTAGTGAGAAAAGTAAACGATACCTCCTACCACTTCAAATACTAACCTTACACCATCACCACCATTACAACCACCATTTTTGCCATCACGGCCGCCATAACCACAACCTCCACCACTGTCACCACCATTATTACCTCCACCGCCACCATTGTTGCCGCCACTACTGCCACCATTGTTACCACCATCGATGTTGCCATCGCCACCACCACCACCATGCATCATTATTGCAACAGCCACCACAACCATAACTGCCACTACCACCATCATTTTCGCGGCCGCCACTACCACAATCATTGCCGCCATCACCACTGCCACTACCACCATAACCGCCACTATCGGTGCTACCACCGCCTTACCACCATTGTTACCTCTCCATCCCAACCAAAACATCCCACTATTAGCATCACCACTACACCTCCACCACAACCACCACCATCATTACCACCACTGATGTTGTCATCCCCACTCCTACTACTATGTCCATTTGTTATTGTATACAATTATATCACTTTTACATTAAATTTTACCAAACGCTTTTACGTTGCTTTTTATACTCGCAGGACTTTTAAAATTCAATTAGCCAAACCAAGGTTCTAAAAAAACGCTAGGCACTAGTCGGGCGGCGGGCTAGTTCCTAGGCGGCCTAGGCGGATTTAGGTAAATTTCTTGTATATCTTGTAAATAAGTGCATATTGACACTTACAAAAAATTTTACTTGTATGAAATCCATGAATAAGATAATAAAAGAATGATAAAATGCAAGAAGAGTATCCAACAAGTCCAAATTTTAAAAACACATTAAGCATATATGTCATATAACCATAGTGAGGAGTATTGTAGGATGACACATGTACAACAAGTTTACAATTTAAAACAACATAAAATGGAAAATAAGAGGAAAATAAGGAAATTTAGTAATGTAAGATACTTATCTTTAGCATCCTGGAATTTAAGTTGATACACAACACACCTATTGTATAAAATTAAAATTTCAAGGTATAATTAGAACTTAGACTTTAAACAAATTTTACATAAAAAAAAATAAAAATAAAAATAAAAACCACCCAGCCGCCTAGAGCCACCCCGATTTTTCCAGCCGTTTTGCACAAAATCGCCTCGGTTCCAAGGCGCCTAGCGCCTAGGCGGCCGCCTAGGGCGTTTTTTAGAACACTGAGCCAAACGCTCGTCAGCTTTATTTTATAGCTGATTATTCTTAAAACACAGTAAAAGCATATTTTTTAAAAAGCACAATAATCCCAAACTGACCCTTAGTGTATCAGGCCATACACTTTCTTTTGAAAAGGATTGTGGGGTCCCTGCCTTCCTAATGTTTCTTCTTTTAGCTTAGCCTTACACCTTCTTTTGTAGAAAATCATCTTTTTACTAATTAGATTTTGGGGATAGGCAATCAAATCCACTATTCTCCCTCGCCAAAACACTCCAGCCCACTCGAGCAATTGGACCCAAGGCGAGTCTGATGGAAAAGTCAGGCAATAATCGCCTAGTCCAGCACTCTGCCTATGTGACGTAAGGCTAATGTTATCATGACGCCACGATTTAAATTATTAAAAATTATAGAAATTATTAAAAATTATAAAAAACTAATTAAAAATGTAAAAGTTTATAATTTATTTTCTATAAATACGTAACCATGTTCTCTCACATTACATTACATTTCAATATTTTTGAGTACTTTCAACTAATCTTTTATTATTGTCCGTAATTAAAAATAAAGTTATTTTTTATTATTTTATAAAATAAAAAAAATACTAATATTTTATACAAATTATCTGAGCTATTCAATTTAAGAGTAAAAATATACTTGAGCAATTACTGTTTATTATAAATAATATCATTCATTTAAAGAGTCTATTGCCCAAAGAAACCCTCCTACATTGGAAGTGCTCTTAAAACTCTATCGTTCACATCAGAACTCCAAGGAAAATATTTATGTGGCATTTGTTAAGCCTTCTCACATGGTTGGTGAAGGAGAAAGAAGAAGACAAGTAGTTACAGACTTTCAGGTCACAAATCACGTCACTCACGTGGCAACATTGCATGATATGGATTCGCAGAAATTTGCCAACAACTGCCATGATTGATTCCCCCAAAATTTGAAATTATTGGACTGGCCATGACGGTACGTCTTTGTAACATAATAACTCACAATAGAACAAAAACATCGAACTCTCGTTCGCACAAATTTTTTTTTTAGAACTTTAACTGAAAATTTTTGATGGTGTTCATTTTAATAAATCATATTTTTACATTAAAAAATTAATCTTAATAATATTCATTTTACCTTTTATTTTATTTTTTTTCTGTTAAAACTCAAAGTTTCCAAATCTTTTTCATTAGTTTTCCTAATTTTTTTCAGTATGACCGTCATACCTAAAAGCTTCGGAAGGGGATCCTTACTGGATCCCTTCCATCAAGTATTTCCCATCATACAATCCAAACTCTTGAAATTTGATCAAACAGTTAAAATTATTATAACTTTTAAAGTGAACCTCTGTTTGTAACCGTTGAATCAAATTTCAAGAGCTCGAATTAATTGATGACGAGGACTTGGTAGAAGAGATCCGGAGAGGATCCCTTTCCAAAAGCTTCTTAAAGAATGCCTTTGAAACTGTTACATTTACTTTTTGATCATATGCCTTTGAATTCTGTAAGAGGCAGAGGACGCAAGGAGAGAAATGTAAATCTCCCGGTCATGAAGTAAAATTTGGAGCCTAATTTGGGCAGCTAGCTATAAAACTCATCAAGGAAAACCCTACTTCATTCTACTCACAAAGAAATGAAAAAACAGTACAAGGAAAAGGCAGAAAGAACGAATTCCTAACCGCTTCATACAACGAAATATTAAAAATACTACACTTTCTGATGCTTCCTGCATATATTATTGATTTCAAATTGTTCCTACTTAATTTAAGTATGAGTCTATGATCACCACCTTCAAGTTCTAGGGCTGCAGATTCTTGACACATTCCTCGTTGGCGAACCAGTTCGGTATTATCCTTGCTAGATGAGGATGCAGGTCTTTGTAGGAGTTCTTGATCGTCCCTTCAGCAACTTGAGTAGCAACCGAGATCTCTGCAACAAAACAAAATTAATACAGGCTTTTCCAGGAGAATAATCGATAGGTCACATAGATTCCTAACCTTTAAGAGACATTTTCTCATCTGATAGTTGATTAATGGTATAAATAACGGCAGCTGCCACCGATATGGGGCTCCTCCTGCAGAAGACAGGACCTCAATTACTTCTATGAAGTTGAAAAAAGCCATCTAATGCTGTTAATGCTTCGATTCGGTTGAAAGTTTTGAAATCCAGGGATTTTGGTTGGGTACAATTTCCATTGGATTGAAGTATTCGCAATACTTCATATCCAAAATTGTATCCGAAGGAGGAAATTCTTAGACTCGGTCTAAGAAAATTCGTTACTGCGAAATATGTAAGGACTCTCCTCTTGTCAGATTTATGACAAAAGGTTCAAGCTAAAAAATCATGAATTATGTAACAAGATTGTTGTGAACTGGCGGAGGACAACCTTATAACAAGCTCTTCAATGTTCTGCACCATTTCTTGTGCAGCCTTGACATCCCGATTCTGCATTCCAAGATTGGAACAAAAGCGTCTCTGCAGAGAAAATGCGATAATTATGTTCTCAAGCAAAACACATTCCAACAAGAAAATAAAATATTGAAACGCGAAGAGACGGGTAATATAAAAAATAAAAAACTCACCAAATAATCTCCAGCATGGATAGTTCCCATTTCCTGACCAAGCTCGGCTTCCAGGTGTTTCAAAACGAACTCTTTTGCCCGTCCAATTTCCTTCTTGGTAGCTCCACTGACTGCAGTGCATATTTCTGGTCGGAACACAAGTTTAGTAAATCCCGTGCGAATAAACATAAGCAAACCAATTTAAATCATTACGAACATAAACATGCGCTTCTACCTTTCATAGTACGAGCCTTATTTTCTTGTCTACAGGCAATGTAAAGGCAAGCAGCCACAACTGCATCTTGATTTCTCCCTCGGAGAGGTTTTTGATCTTCTACCTTCTTGTATATTTCATTGGCTCGATCCTGGTAGTCAGAATTAGAAAGCCATAAAGATTACCAATCCCAAACAGAAGGCTTTAGACTTTTAGTCAAATAAATATTAATTTCAAATGCTGTGAGCATAAACCCCCTATTAAGAAGTTGAAACTAATATGTGAGATCACACAATAATTCTACATCAGAAACACTGAAAAATTGCAACTTCAATGAATGTGTTGGAATACCGAGTTACCAAGCAAAAACTAATGACCAAATACTAAATAGATTCAAGAAATTGTGCACAATCAATCTCAAAACGAGGTCCTCGGACATGCACAAAGAAGTCACAGACAGGTCACTAAACCATGAAAATGGTAAATATAGATTCATCCCATCGATTCAAAATGAAATGAAATTCTTCATCATACAACACTAATATAATTACATCAAGGAATTAGCTTTATATATACTGCATTTACTCAAATGCAGGATACGACTAAGGGATGATAAGGGAAATTTTGATGAAATAGCAGGACAAAAACGATATCTTTTCAAAACTTGATGAAATAGCTGGACAAAAACGATAGCTTTTCGTTCAACTCATATCGTAAATCATTATAAGAGTTGCCATTTTTCATTGTTTCAACCCATCAACTAGCCTCAACCAATCATAAACTGAAAGAACAAACCATTCATTACCTAACATCCTTGTAATTAGCCACAAAATGGGACAGTGACCAAAAATGCATTTTACACATTTCCAGTTGAAAATAAATCAATTGACAAAACCAAAACACAAAGAAAATGATGCTAAAATATTAACTGATGTACCTTTATGGTTGTAACAAGTCCCAACCTGCAGTGAAAACCCAACACATTGAATCAAATTATGTTCCCAATTGACAGCCAGAAGAGCAAGTACATCCTACAAGCCAAAAACGCTTTTAACTATGTTTGTTAAAAAAATTTAAATGTAAATACTTATCCCCCCGTAGAAGAGCTCTATAAAGAAGCACATGCTAAAAAGTACTTTCAAATGCCTTTTAACAAAACTATGGATTTTTTTTAAAACAAGTCAACATATTTATCATAAAAGCACTTTTGAGCGTAAGTATTTTCTAGGAACACAATCCCGCATGGGCCCACTATTGATGACATGATAGTGACGCAATGCTTTTAAAAAATGAGTAGGATTTTTTTTCCTCTTATTATCATTCTCTTCTTTTTTCTTCTTTCACACTTTTTTTGTCTTTCTTTATATAAAAAGTTCAAAATACGTTGACGTGACTTAATTATTGGTAATTTTAATAAAACACTTTTGGTACTATTCATTTTTAACGAAAAATTACATTTATACCTGTTCGGGCCCAAAATAATAGTGTTGGGCCGAGTGTAGGTTTATGTTCGGCCCAAAGCTGTTTCAAATACACTATGGGCTGCCTGGTGGTCCCGGACCATTCAGCAAGGATGGTCAAGTCCTATCGTAAGAAGGAGTAGATCGGATGAGCAAAGGGGTCAAAGAAGTCCTAGTGCGATTTGGATTCTCGACCAACAATGAATATGGCCTCAAAAAAGGGGTGAGTTGAAAGTTCTAATAGGGGTAGGATTGGTCGAAGTGGAGTTGAAACAAAACGAGAAGTCCCAATCCAGATACGATTTTGACTCGAACTCAAGGAGGATTTGCTGCATAAAGGAGGGTGCAATTCAAGGACCTCCAAGGAAACACACGACCGCCTTGCGCAAAACCTCTCAAACATTTTGAGATTTTTTACTTTCTTTTTTTCGCCGACACATCTTTAGTTTGGATAAACAGCACTGTGAAGGCAACCGGCAAACACCTTCGGTTTGGATAAACAACAATGTTGCCATAGAATCAGCTGATTGAGGAGCACCTTCAATTTAGATAAACAGCACTGCGTCGAGGCTGACTGGTTACCTATCCAAGTCTCGGTCGAGAAGGGTTTCCGAATCCTTATTGGCAGAGGTCATCTTATTAGCCTTCTCAGCGAAGTAAGGTGTTACAAGTTACGACATTCGGCGCATTGAGCGTCGAGTGATTTTATGATTAGATGCTCACAAGTGAGTTTCAGAGTTCGGCATTCTGACGGCCAAACCACATTCACCATCTAGACATACATCACCTTTGAATACTTGTGTCCGTACAGTCTGGTGTCAATTCGACGTGCTTATACTCTCACGAATATAATCACTATGACCGAATCCGGCACCGACGATTTGTGAACTTCGCAGAACTAGCAGCCTTGTCTTCAGGCTCGAGAATCCAAAGGCCGATATTTGTTCCTTCCTCGGCCGCAGTCGCAAGATAAAGAAATCAGCAACGCGCTCAACGCAACATCAACAAATTTTACTCCTTATTCGAGCTCAGCCGTCAAGTTAGCACGCCCCGCATTCAACTGAAGGACGTAGTTAACTTGTTAGTTACTCGGCCTGCGCATCACGTAGACTTTGTAATTTTTAGGATCAACAATACCTTACCTGGTACTATTTATTATATCTTTAAAAATGATTTTTCATTAAAATAGAAGTTTTTTTGAATTTTTTGTTAATTTTCCGATTATAACAGTTTAAATAAGAAATGAGGGAAAGGAAGAGAGAATCCTCCTCCTTTCGAAAATACAATCCAAACAAAAAATTTCTTCCTTTTTCCTTTCACTTTCCGAGCAACCAAACAAATACAAATTAAGTTAATTAACAAAAAATAGTAAAATTAGAGCATGCAAATCAAAAATACCAAACCTGTCGGCCATCACGGCAATTGCACCGAAGACGTCGAGAAGATGACGGTCGGGCTTAGAGGCGCGGCCTTGCCACTTCCCGACAGAGGGGGGCAAGGCTTCGGAGGAGGAGCCGCCATTTCTGGGCCTGGCGATGACGGTGGAAAGCCCAGCTTCTGACAAAAGCGGGTTAACAGGTCCCCCGACACGGTTCGGGTCGTTGTCGTTGGAATCGTCTGCGAAGGAGCGCCACTCAGCGGTCTCGTCGACGGTATGCGCCTCCAGTACGAGGCCGCACTCGGAGCATATCGCGTCGCCCGCTCTGTGGTCGAAGACAACCTCCGTCAGACTATTACAGTCGCGGCAAAACGTGTCCGACATAACTCCACCAAAACAACGTTATTTTTTTCGATTTTTTAAGGATTTTTGTTTTGTCGGAGCCCTTCAGACCGTTATGATTTTTCAAATTCTTTTGTTTGCTGTGAAACTGTAAATCTTGAGCGGTAAGGGGAGGGTTTTTACAGACGTTTGGAGGGGAAGGAGGAGGAAGGAGAGGTGTATGTGGTAATTTTAGGGGTGGCTTTTATTTAATTTTTTTTTTTTTTTGCAACTTTATCCAACAAATTTAATGTTTGGATAGGTAGGGATTTATTTTGGATTTGATGGGGGTAGGTTCAATGAACAAATTAGCTGGAATAAGGATTTGGATACGGAATTTAATTGCATATCTGATTCGGAGAATTTTTGAAATGTTATTTGAATTTATATATATATTAATTTGTTATATGACAAAAATTTAAATGATTTGTTGTATCAACTTTATGAATTTATTAATCTGTCATCACACTTTCAATTTGTTAAAATTTTCATACAAAATAAGTGATGTGACATGATTATTTCGGATTTTTCAATATTTCACTCCCCTTCTAGTACGTTGCTATCAACAAAAATAATTCTAGAGTTTCTCAAAAGATACAAAAAAAAAAAAAAAAGTTTGATCTGGCATATAAGGATCTAGGGTCTGTTGTCCGGAAAATATATATATATATATATATATTTGACACGTCACATCGGATTTAATGCTATATATTCAATTTTTTTAGTATATCGATATTTTCATATTAAAGAGGAAGAATTCGGCTAAATCACATAATGGCCAGCTTAATTTAGTATCGACTTCTAAGCGAAGATGAATACCAATAGACAATAGTATTGAGTTTGATAATAATAATAATAATAATAATAATAATAATAATAAATTATTGAATATATGTTATACGATTAGTAAGTACATAATTATATTGACCCAAAAAAAACAAGTACATAATAGTAAGGGAATTTTAACGAAAAGCTCATGTACTATTTACTTTAACGAAAAACCATACTTTTATAATAAAAAATTAATCATGATACTATTCACTTTATCCTTTATTTTGTGCTTATTGTTAAAATTTAAAATTTTAAAGTCATTTTCATTAGTTTTCCCTAATAAGAAAACTTTAACGAAAAACTACCGATATAATACAAAAGGAAGAGGGAGATAATTCAGAATTCTTAGTATTGTTCATTGATGGTAATTAAAACTGGGAAAAGTATCCAAGATTTCCATTTATTTCTTCTTATAATAAACCCTAGAGTTTCAGTATTTGGTGTCACCAGTTACATCTAATTACATTTTTATCTCTCTCCTCAGGTGATTAGCCTTAATTGTACACGAACGGAATTCCCACCTAAAAATGGAGTGTGCAGCCCAATGGACTTTATATAAAATGCCCGATATGCGGGTTTGAACACGAAATCGCCATCAAACGTTAACAGTATAATACCAAAGAATAAAAGACAGATCATATTATAAACAGTTGGTGACTCCATAAGCAATAAAAATATGAAACCAACTTGTGTTTTTGTTAATTAAACTGGTTGGAGAAACTTGACGACCAAGGTTGTCAAGCACTGGTACCAAACTCGTTGACAGCCAAAAACACCAGTACGATTTGTCGTTTGAAGATCCATGTCCATGTGAAGCAAATATACTTTTCAGTTGGCACATGTCTAGCTCTTTGTCTGGAAATGCTCCCTGCACACACATCCGGTCGACCTCGACCTCGACCTCTTCGTCTTTCATCGTCGTCTTCCTCCCGGGAGTCCGGAACATCAGGTCAAAAAAGAAAGAAACTAAGAGCAGTACCGATGAAAGAATCTCGGGAGGAAGACAACGATGAATGACGAAGAGCAGTACCAATGAATGAAAATGGAAACTCAATTTCTTTTTATACAGGCCATTTCTTTTTGTACAGGGACCAGATCATACGGTGCTATAACTGCAAAAAGCTTCAATGTCCTAGATTCTCGAGATGGGGTCATGAAATACCGCATATACTATCTCATGCTGCAGCACTGCGGTCGTCCGAGTTGTTTCAATTTGCCCCACATGCACATCATCTGTCTCGGAGACTGGTAATGGGCGGTGTAATAATCTTCGATGCACCCGAATTGGCAGAACTTCAAGCTGTGCCTGTACTCGACTGGTTTTGAGCTGTTGAATTTCTCAACCCACATTCCCATGCTCACATCTTCCATCTTAAACAACTGCACAAAGATCAAATTATTTAGAATCAACCACCCATTACATTATCAGTAGAGAGAGGGCGTGGATGTTACTTACCCTTAATTGACGCCCTTCGAACTCGGATACAATGAACTTTGCAATGTCAGATGACAAGATGTAACCTGGTCCATTTGCGTAAGGTGGATAGTCTTCTTCTGGCCACTCCTGAAGCAAGAAAACAGAGAACAAATGGCTATGAATACTAATATCAAAAGCAAGTATCGGCGCAAAACAATGCAAGAAATTGAACATAGTACAACATTGACGCTCTTTAACAAGATTTCAACAAAAGAAAGATTCTTACAAGTCAATATCACAGACTATAAATCTGATATAATTTTAATCCCCCCGCCCAAAAATCCAAAGCGAAAAGAATGTCGGTAAACTGAAGAAAATGAGAACTGACTACGTGTAGAAGTAGGGTCGACAATCTCACTACCCAGCAGGTATCAGAAACAATAAGTTTGTATGTACCTCATATGTGACAGCCCATTTACCATAGCGCAGAGGCTTATGGTAGTAATTTATGTTCCCCACATACAAGCTCCTTCCTTCTGGTACTTTATGTGCCTCTCTGATAACGGCACCTACTCTAACAAAAGTGTCATCATCGCACTTCATAATGTACTTAGCGGCCATGGTACGAACCTGAAACAGAAGCAACACCATTATTACAAAACCATTTCCGGGAAAATACTGTACAGTATCGAATCTTCATTTATGCGTTTATTCCAAAACTCACCCCATACTCGCAGATAGCAACAGTTTTCAAGACGACCAAGTCGTAGTTATCCATGTACGGCACTATAACAATATCGCCAAAAAACTCCGCTTCTTTCTTTAGCTCAACATTCACTTCCTTTTTAGCATGCTGTCCAAGTATCAATAGAAAAGATTGAGAGTCTCCCACTTAAACATTGTACAACAACCAACTACAAATTTTCAAGTGTCATATTGCTATTGCTTACCAATGCTACAAAGAAACGAGCGACCACTTTTGATGATCTGATAAGATTGTGCTGCATCCAAGACTTCCTTACCGCCATCCTCTCAGCAAAATGGTTGCCTGCAGAAAGGATACCAATGAAGAGTTCAACACCGCCACCAGAAAGAGGCGGGGCCCGCCATCTGGTTGACATCTCAAGATGCTTCTGTGGAGCAAAACTAGGATGGGATGAGGGCAAAGAAGCGGCAAATACCGAGTGCAGATCAACATCCCCACTCAGAGACAGCCCAGTGGCGTCCTCAAGAGAAAATCCCTGTCGACATCACAACTAAATGCTTAGCAAAGAATCCTCAATCATCAAGCGGTAGAGGTACCAGAATATTACTCACATTATGATAAGGAAAAGAAGCGATATGCCTCCCATCAACATTAACATGATAACCCTCCAAGCCAGCACTAAGAGTTAAAACAAACAATTTCTCCTCTGCAAACGGGTATGGCCAGTCAACAGGTACCCTTTTAGTTCTGCCTACTAACCGGCTCAACCACCATGTTGCCTTGGTCTCCGCTGAGTGATTGTCGTCATCACGAATCCATTTCTCGCACTTCACCTGACCATCAACTAAAACCAGTCTAAAGAATTACACAACTTGGTGGTGCGGCATCAAAGATGAATTAACTCGGGGAATAATGAGAAAAATGGCCAAAATCGAAACATGCAAGATAACGAGCCAACAACCCAAAACAATAAATTTCTTCCTGAATAGGAAAACGAAGTATCATTTTCATATCATTCTTCTGGAACATATTATCAATGAGCAGTTAAGTACTATTAACATAACAGCTCAAACACACTTTGAACTTTCAAAATCGACACCGCATTCTGCATATCAAGCTGGCACAATACCACACTTCATACAAATTCAAATGCTGTTTTTATTCCCATTTCAGTAGCTTACTTGCAATGCTCCAAATCCAATGAATGCGAAAAGCTCAAAACAGAAACTAATGCACCAAACCAACATAAACAGAACAATTTACAAGTTTCATATCTAATGTTATAGGACATTGATAATCACTCACCAGTTTCTTCATCAGCCTTAGATTTCCAGCCCTCGCATCGAAGCGCCGAGCCCCACTGCATCCTGTAACAAGTGTTGAGTTCAATCACAGGCCTTCCACTCCAATCCCCCATCAACCTTGGATTGAAATGCAAAAGTCTCGGTGGCTCCTCACCCTCCACAGTCTTCAACCCCAGCAACTCCACCTTAAACTGTGAAACCATCGCCGACTCACCGTCCCTCAGCAGGGCAATCTTGGGCTGAAACTCCTCGTGCGCCGCCCTCGGCCTCCCCACAAGCGTTACGTGCGAACCCAATGTCAGCCCACACGGCAGCACTATCACCCTCCCCTGTGCCGAAAACTCCGACCCAGATACCGAAATCGAATGCTTGCATGCCTCGGATCGGTTCTCCACCTTTCCAGCATCTATCTGCACCTTTCCAGATTCCACCTCTCCCCAGAACTTCCTTCCCACTTCCCAGGCAACCTTCGCTGGCTTGTAAAGCTCCGAATCAAAAGTTTTCGGGTCGAAAACTAAACCCGAAACAAAATTGGGCTCTCTGGGTCGCCGACTCTGAGTCGGCTGGTACGAGTTATGCGAAACTTGCTCAAGAGGGCGACTTGGGGCGTCCTTTTCCTCCACGTCTTCCTTGCTATGGAGCCTGTTGGGTCGAGACAACGAGTCCGGCGAGATTGTACTGAACCCAGTTTTGAACACGAAGGGGATTTCAACCGTAACTAAAAGTAGATACAGAAGTCCGATAGCGATCAGAATCTGAATCGATCTTTTCCTATTGACAGAGAAGAAGGTGCCCAATCTATCCAATTTAGCCCTCCTCATCCCCAATTTCGTAAAAAAATTCAAAACTACAAAATTTACCAGTAAGCAGAGATCAACCACACAAAAAAATAATAACTTGAATTCTGGGTTTTGCGAAGAATGTAAATTTGAATCCTGGGTTTTGCGAAAAATTGAGTCTTTGATTCAAATACACGAAGTTGGAGAACGAGTCGGCAACTTGAACCCACCGACACGTCCAGAAGTTTTGGGACAAAGAAAAAGTGAAACTTGATTCCAATCGAGGTCGGTGTGCGCGAGCTTTTTCCTGGAAGATGAGAAAATAATTTCGTTTTCGATTTTGTTTTCTCTCGTTTTTCAAATGGAAAATTTGGAAAGAAGTGAACTTGAAATAAAAAGAGACGTTTTATTGGTTTGGAGCGGAAATTATTGAATAAAAGTGTTGTGGGTGGGGTTGGGATCCGGTAATCAAACACTACCCAACCCGCCACTTCGCCGGTGAGGAGAACTGACTGTTACTGTTTACCCATTTACTTTTACTGGGAGTAAATTCTATCTTGTGGAGCAATTATCTGCAATTAAATGAGAGTTGGCAAAATCAGGTGAAAAATACTATTAAACCATTACTAAGTGGGAGAAGAAAAACCTTCTCCAAACCATAATGTTTGAAATTTTCTTAATATGGTCGATATTTTTGCGAATATATCAAAAGTCATAATAAGATATGGAAAGGGGGTAGAAGGTTAAACATCACTCCATATGGAAGAATTTCTCAAATTTCGACCAAAATTGACATATTTCATTCATATTTCTGATACTTAAATCTTGGCAAACTGTCATAAAATATTTTCATTTTAAATTTATGCGTTTTTTAGTAGACTTTCATCATTTCCGTCAAATTAGTATCGATAAATCCATCAATATTTTCACAAATTTACGTATTAATATTTTTATGTTTTATTTGTGTATTAATAAACAATTAAAAATACTTGTCATGAGAACTATAATTTTAGTAGTGGATTTATATTCATTTCTCTTTGAACTTATTCACTCCCATCTTTACCTTTAATTAATAAAAAAATATAAACAACAACTTTTATAACGTCACCCACCAACATATTTAAAAGATAGAAATAATATTAAAAGGTTATAATCAGGAAATGGGTGGAAGAGGAACAGAAAAGCGACCGTTGCAAAGGATGAGAGAGAGAGAGAGAGAGAGAGAGAGAGATTAAAAGGTTAATCTAAAAGATTAAAAGGTTAATTTTGGATTAGATTAATGAAAGGTGTTGGGAGAGAAATGTTGTTGAGTGGTCCGCCTTTGAATTTTGAATACCTTTCCCTTGCATGAACTCATTGCGATTAGGTGGCATTTGGCAAGCATGGCCATAGCCACGTGTGTTTGAATTTCATAACCTGTGCTATGATGCATCTCCAAGATTTCTAAAATCCCTCTATTTAATTTCCATCATCAGAATTAAGTCCTATAACAATTTATAGTCCTTATGTAGTGTAATGATTGTGTACTGAATTTTGGCTTAAACGTTAAAATAGTCTCTGTATTTTATTCAATTTGATCTCCGTATTTACCTTCGTTAGCTAATCTTAGACAATCAATTAAAGGACCGTTCAAATCGACATGTGTCTTGCAAGTGAGAGGACAAAAATGCAACTTCATTGTAAACCTCTTAAACCCAGACAAGTTCAAATGATCGACGATGACGATCTCCCGTGTAAGGCACATGTCAATTTTAATGGTCCTTTAATGGATTGTCTCGGATTGGCTAACATAGGTGAACATGGAAATTAATTTGGCCAAATTAAAAACACAAAAACTAAAATTGACTGATACGGTAAAATACAAAAACCATTTGACATTTAAGCCTTGAATTTTATACCCATTTTTTAAGATTACGTGAGGAATTTACACTATGTTTGGATGAGGGAAATAAACATGGAATTTTGATAAAAGTCAGAATTTATAAATTAACAGGCACCAATTCTCTTGTTTGGATTCATAAGCATAGAAATTTAGAATTTCCGCATGGAAAAAAAACTTGGAATTTGGGACCTCCAAATCCCAAGTTCAAATTCCATGTAAATAGGTGTCATTTCTCAATTTCTATGATTGAGAGTTTAAAAATAACAAATTCTGTATTCAATTCCATTGTTCTTTTAGGTTAACCAAACAAGAAAATTTACAAATTCTAGAAAATAAAATCTCGTCATTTCAATTTCCGTCATTTTTAAATTCCTTAGTAATCTTAAATTTCTTCACCCAAACATAGTGTTATAGTTCAGTTAAAAACTCTAATTCTAAATGCACCTCTCTCCTCTCTCTCAAAAAGCTCTCTCCCTCTACAAAACCCTAACCCTAGCCGGCTACCTCCATCGTCGCCGGCCTCTGGCTATAACTAAGGGCCGATGGTAGCTTCCCTCCTAGCCCTTCCCCTTCTTCCCCATCCCAGTTTTCTCCCCCCTCGCTATACACGACCTTCTTCCCCCACCCCCCCTCGACCTTAAACCGACTACTCATCCCCGGCCTTCACCTACCTCATCTCCCCTCTCGTGCTTCTCTCCCACCATTTTGTGTGCAGCGTTCCTTGGATTTTGCCTAATACCTTGATTTGGGCCATGCCCTTTTCAAAAATTCCTTTGATTTGGCACTCGATTTTCTTGGTGTAGGGTGGACTCGTGTTGCAGGTAGGATGGATCCACCTTCGTCAACTTGTTTCCATGGTGGTGTCACCTTCCTCGCCTAGGTTTGTTGGCTACACTGACATGTGCACTCTGATCTGGTGGCTCGGCTTGTTCTGGCAGCTTGGCTTGATCTAGCGGCTCGGCTTATACGAATCCCTTCTCGGAGTAGTGTAGTTGTTTTTCACTCACCTTATGTGCACCATGGTGGAGCTATTTATTTTGGCTAGATTGGTCTTCGCCTTTGTGCGATGCGTTATGTAATCTTGTCTGTCAACAATGACTTGATGTGGTCTCGCTCTATCGCGATGACTTTATGTGGCCTTGTTACTCAACGATGACCATTGTGGTTGCCTATATTTCTCTGTTGCCGCTATCGTTCATTGTGACAGATCTGTAATGGTGGCACTTGTGCTTTTGGCGATTGTGTGTTCGAGCTTGTGGTAGTCTGCTAAAGGTTTACTCTTATTTATCTGTTTGCGCAAATTCACTCCATACTAATTTTATTGGTCATTGGAGCTTTGTACCCAATGACACCCTTATAATTGTTAGTGTTGATTAATGAATCGTTTCTTGTAAAAAAAAAAAAATTCAGTTAAATAAGAGTATTATTTATTACAATCAAGGTTCTAAGTTCGAATTCACTTCTCAAAACAAACTATTAAAATTATCAAACCTACAAAAGATATTGAGATTATTGGTAATAAAATAATCAGAAAATCCACCTCTTTCTTCTAATATTGGGATTATTGGGAAGATTATGTGCACTAACAGAATAAATGTTATACCTATTCTTCAGTGCTAAAATCTCGAAACGAACATTAATTTACCGGAGTTGTTTGTTTTTTGCCCTCCACAAGAACGCACGGTTTCTTAATCTAATTAATTTGAATGGACCACTAATTTGAATGCAAAACTCATCATACTATTTATCTTTTAAATGTATTAGTTAAATAATAAAAGAAAATGTATGAAGTTACTTTAATTTTATGAACAAAGGAGTTGTAGATACCAAACTAAAAAACTTGGGGTCATGTTTTAGATGAAGAGAATATTCATTCACTATCTAGGTCAAGGTTTGTCTAATGTAACTAATTACCAAGTGAATATGGCAAAATTTGTATTGTAATTAAGATACCATCTTGGTAACCATCACGGGGTAGCCAATGGTTGGTGACGAATTATACGTTCGTATTTCACACTTTACGTCATGAGTTTGATTTTTGGCGTTGGTGAATCACATAATGGTGACCAGAGATAGGCCGAAATGCCTCTATAAATCTTCCTGACCACCCCCCCCCTAAAAAAAAAAGGTTGGAATGTCGTAGCGAAACCACCAAATCGTCCAATTTTCAAAATGGAAGATACCATCTTTGTCTATAATCACTACCCCACATTGCGCTTTCTAGTGTCTATCTACTATCAACTTATTGCTCATTTAAGGATCACGCAGTGTCTTTCTAGTATTGACTTTGTATTATCTCATTTTTAATTTTCAAATAGGTGATACGCACTCGTTAATGGTGTTGCCACTACGATTCTACATTGATACTATCTCATTGAAAAGAGGCCACAAATGTTTGTGTATTTGGCAAGGTGCTTTGGAAAGAGGTTGCTTTTGCAAATGGTAAATCCTATTCCCAACCATAGTGAAAGGAACTAGCAAGTCCCTCCAAATATGAGTAATTTTATACTATGTTTTTATACCATATTTCTATACCACATTAGGTGGCATCTGATGTGAACAATTACATTATTTGAAAAATTTGCAAAACCCAAGGAAAGGAAGGAGAAAGACACCTCGTATACCACAATCATCATTTAATTAACTAGTTTTTCTTAATTATTAGTTTATTAAATAATGAACTAAATTTAAAAATCTGATTAATTCAAATGATATGGATGTTCACATCAAATGTCACATAAGATGATATGAAAATGTGGTACAAAAACATGCTATGAATAACATTACTCCTCCAAATATAGAGATTCGAGAGTGTCAAAGACTAGGTTTTGCAAAGGCCTTTGGGTTAATTGAAGAGAGTGATGTCAAATGATTTGACACGGCAACGAGGGACAACTTCAGTATCATTGAAAGCTTTGTAGAGATCGCATGCAGAGTAGCAAAGATCACATTTCGGTACGTTAAACTAACTCAATTCAAAACTTGAAGTTGAAGCACTTCTTCAACATATATAAAAATGTGCTTAAATACACCTATCACAGACAAGAGATGAGGTGAAGTATTTCCATCACACATGATATATTATGTTATGGAATTCGATGGTCCCTTTCAAGTGGTTTGATAATTCGACAATTTCGCTTTCAAGGTATATTTTTTTCTCTCTGTCAAGGACAGATTTATTACAATTTTGACAAAGTTAAAATATTAGTGATTGTAGATGAATTTCATATTCGTATTCCACACGGTACGTTCTGAGTTCGATTTCTGGCATTGATGAATTGCACGATGGTGGTCAAGAGGAGGCTGAAATGTTTCTATGAGTCTTCCCGACCCCTAGAATGGTGAACTTTCATGAGAAGCTACTAGCCAATCCTCTTATTTAAAAAATAAAAAAAATAAAAAGAAAAGAAAAATGAAGGGGAAAATGCACGTTATCCCCTTCATCTGTTCTTTTCTTATCCTTCATAAAGAAAACATTGCACTATTATGATATTCAAATATCACCAATGTTTACACCTGTATCTTTTCAAGCTGAATGCATCTATAGGAAACAATCACGTTAAAATTAAATGGCACACATCAGATAAAAGGTCCCCTACTCCACATCACGTAATATCTTAAGATTGAGGAACCCTACACAACCACTACCGATCTGATAACATTTATGTGTCAGCTTGGGGAAACAAGGAAGAGAGCTTTACATGCCCAGATCAGCTCGGTTACCACAACTACTGACCTGACCTTACCTTTTTAATCACTAACTAGCAGAGCTTTGAGTGATAAATGGACGTCTGCCAGCCGCAAAAGCTCACCTCACCTCGGCCTATTGACGAGCTCATCTTTCTGACTTCGACCCATTCAAAGTCCTGCTCTCTGACTTTGATCCCGTCAAAGTCCCTTGTTTACTATGCTAAAAACCGACATCAAAACTAAATATTTAGTTTTGATTAGGGTTTTGTGATATTGTTGGGGCACTGACTTTTCGTAAAACCATGATGGTAAATTTTTGATCTTTTGTCCAAAACAAATCACCAAACTTTAACCTTTACAATCCAATATGATATTTATTGATACCACTAAATATTATAAATTTGACCGATAATATTTAAGGAATTTAAATGAAAAAATCTCAGTATTATTCATTTTAACGAAAAATCATATTTTTACATTAAAAAGTTAATCATGATATTATTTATTTTACCTTTTATTTTACCTTTATCGTTAAAACTCAAAATTTTTAAATTTTTTTTATTAGTTTTCTTTAATATTTATAGCTGAAATATTTGCGGAGGAACGTCAACACAAAAGTGAGTGCAAAAGTTGAACATGCATGAATGCTTGCATGGCACATTTAAAGTTTGACAACGCATAAGTGTGACACCATGCATGGAATGACATTTTGACTATTTCAGACCCACCCCACCCCACCCCACCCCTCTTCTCTGTTTATATTTTTGGGTCAAACTTTTCTGTTTCAGTTTATGTCACTCGCATACTGCATGCGTTGTAACAGCTCTTAAAATGAGGGTCGATCTCCTCCATTAGCCAACACAAAAGTTAGCTAGGTTTACGTTGGAGCACCACTAACTTTGATAAAAATAAAATAAAAAAAATAAAGTGACGAAGTACTTTATCAAGCTGAAAAGAAATTGATCAGGGAAAAGAAAAAGGTGATGCGACATCACATAAGGCAATTCGAACTTAGACACTTTTTCATTATAAATTAAGTTTTCGTAGTTTATTTCTACTAATTAATAAAACACTCATTATTAACTAAAATTTTAAGAAATTACCAGTTTAATCTTCTAATTAAAACAGAACATGAATAAGAAATATGAGGCAAAAATGTAATTTCACACAATCAAATTTTACTGTTTTTTTCTTTTTTTCAAAACATCCTACATGTAATCCTAACATATCTCTCATTAAAAAAAAATAAAAAATAAAAAACTTCTCACACCCACATTCTCTATCACCCTCTTCCTCTCTCCTTTTATTTCAAAAACAAAAATAAAAAATTTGCTCACACTTTGTTAGTTTGTATTAATAGAGAAGGCGATTCGAACTTTGACCATCTTTCAGCATAGACCTAGTTGTTCATCTTCCATTGTAGAGAGAGTTTTTGGAGCAAAGCAATCAGAAAATTCAAAGTACGATTACATGAACCTTAAGTTGGTCGGCGATACCAATAACTTTCTCTTGAGTCTCTCTTACTCTGGAAAGCGTGACTTTTAAATTTGAGGCCAAAATCCAAAAGCTGCTATTAGCTGTGTTGCACATGTTTGCAGGTTCTTGCTGAAAAGAGAACAAACCGGATGATTAAAAAACGTTACAATTATCTTTATGCGATATTGCGATTCTAATTTAGCTTTGATCATAATTTAGCTGAACGGTATCTTTGATCATAATTTAGCTTGTCCTTTTGCTTTCATATTTCTTTTGTTAACATTTTTTTCATCGACACTTTGAAAGAGGAAAATGCTTCACCGACAATTATATATTAGTTTTCTGATTTTATTTTGTGTTTAACCAGTTTAAGTATGGTGATTTTTGACTAAGTTAAGATAGGTCACGGGCAGTAGAGCAACTTTCATAACACAAGTGTAACCCGCTTAAGTATGGCGATATTTGATTATTGGCAGCAGAGCAACTTTCATAACACAAGCGCAACCAGTTTAAGTATGATGATGCTTGACTAAGTTAAGATATGCAACAGGTAATAAAGCAACCTTCATAATACAAGCGCAACAAGTTTAAGTATGGTAATGTTTGACTAAGCTAAAATAGGCCACGAACAGTAAAGCAACTTCCGTAACAGAAATGTAGATATTGAAATCGATTAGTCGACCTAGATCTAGATGTTAGATGGATTAAGACAGGCCACGGGCAACAAAGATGGATTCAGAATCACAAAAAATTTAAACTTCAGCGATCATCAGCATCATCATCATCACCAATAAATCAAAGTCTGTCACTAACTCCTGGTTTCCGGATAGAAGTGTTGTCATATGGTTAGAGATTTTTTTTTTTTTTTTCTCTGGTCAACATATATATTTGTTAGAGTTGTTAATTTTGGCTAACATATTATTGGAGTTTATGTTAGATGGGTTAGAATTGTCACAAGAGTATAGGTAAGCTTGCAAGTTACGGGAAGACTAATCCGTTATTTCTTTGACATCCCACTAAGGAAGGTGAGCTACTACCAAGACAAAGATTTCAGTACAATTTCAATCGTAATTTACTAAATGCTTTACAAACCGTATTAGTTAGCAGGTGTGAACTAGATAAAACAAAATGGGTCCGAATTATTAGTTAGGTGGCTATTTAATACAAAAATACACCTAACAATTGGTTTTGTACAATTTATCTTATCTGATACTTTATATGGCATGCCAAACGAGATCTTAATTTTCAAAGTGCAACTCAAAAGAGTGAAGCGGCTTGGCATTTCTATGCATGTCCAATCTTACTGGTTTGTGAGGCTCAAGTTCTTCATCAACATCATGAGGAGGTGGTGGTTGCACTGCACCTGCCAATATTTTGTTGCAGATCGATGTTGAAGGAGCTGGGATGCGAGTCTCTACCAATAACAACACAGGCCCGAGTACCATCATTGATGTAAAGGAACCTCTGTATTTTTCCTCATATGGCGGGATCGGGAGACCTAGTTTGGCTCCTTTTGGATTTGCCTTCTACTTTCTATAAAAGCACATAAGAATTCGACGTAAAAACGGAGTGCCGTTTGTCAACTATCTGATGCCCTCTCCCTCCCCATTTATCCAGGCTTGGGACCGGTAGTGTAAGGCGGAGTTTTTTTTCTTCTATAAAATCACATTTTAACAAAAATAAAACACCACACCACATCCCTAAACCCCTTTAAATACACACAAATGATTCAAATTAATGACATAACTCCCAAAAATAGTTCTGATTGACCATCTGAAGAAATAATTACATAAAGCGCTACTAGTTTATTGATTTCAACGTAAATTCAAGAAGAAACATATTTTTGCTATATATTCTATAATTTTCTGCCTCATCGAGTCTGAAGTTTCTTAATTAGTTGAGCTTTTTGTTTAAAATAGTTAGAATCATCAAACTTGTGATCATCAAACAGTAGTCAGTAGTCATTGCCTTTTACACAAAGGCAAATTAATTTAAATAATCAATTAACTATGCTACTTTACTTGGATTGAATCTAAGTTTAACCAAATAATTCACCCAATTTGAACCAGATTCAGAAGGGTCCCTAGGAGCCAAGCATGTGAGCATACGGAAAGACTGATTTTTATTACCGTTAATGTACGTGAAGATGTCATTCATCATGCAACTTAGTTAAATGGAAGCAAAACCCTCATGCTTTTCTTGCCTTTCCACGCTTGTCATACTTTTAACCAGTACCTTTCCTCATCTCATCTCATACCTCTCTCAATGAGCATCTGCATAAGCAGAACTAATTAAACGAAGGTGAATCGGTTTCATCTCTCTTTTAAATCCGACAACTTTTGTTTATCATTTCCTTTTTGTTTTCTTTTCAATCTTTTTCCTTTTTATGATTTCATGTGCAAGTTTTGAATCACACAGATAATTAATAAGGATGGTGAGACCTGCTTGTTGTGACAAGCTGCATGTGAAAAGGGGCACTCTTTGTACTGCGGAGGAAGATGCAAAGATACTTGCGCATGTGTCGAAGCATGGCCCCAGTAACTGGACTTCTGTTCCCAAAAAAACAGGTTAATTCGGATGCTTTCTTCTCTGAATTCTTTCGTTATTGGGTTTCCGGGGGTACTGTTGGATTAAATAGTGCATTTCCAGAATAATTAATTAACCTAATGTAAGAGTGTTTACAGGAGTTACAAGATGTGGAAGGAGCTGCAAGCTTAGGTGGACTAAGCACCTCAAGTCTAATCTGAAGCATGAATCCTTCACGCCCCATGAGGAGGAATTGATTGTCAGGCTTCATGCCACAATAGGTAGCAGGTTAGTATTTATGCAAATTTCTAGCTGATCTTGGAAGAAAAAAAATTTCACTGCATTAGTCTTGGTTTTATTGTATCCGAACCGATCTGTGCTGTCTTCCGTTCCAACTATCATAGTTTGTAGATCTCATTTACCCTTTGGAGATAAAGCTTATGAAGGTTTGTTTATTTGAGCCTGCTTCTGGAAGAGCTAAAAGCACGTTTTGACAACCAAAAGTGCCTAAGTTTGAAGAAGTATAAGGGTTTTTTTTTTCCTTATGATTTTTGTGGTGCAGATGGCCAACAATAGCTCAACACCTTCCTGGGAGGACAGACAATGATGTAAAGAACTACTGGAACACTAAGCTGAAGAAGAAGCTCTCAGAAATGGGAATTGATCATGTTACTCATAAGCCGTTCTCTCAAATCTTAGCGGATTATGGAAACATCGGTGGCCTCCCGAAAGTTGGAATGAGAATCGGGATCGGTTCTCTCAACAAGGACTTGAGGAACGCGATGCTGATGAAGCCAGCAGAGCCATACTCATTGCCAGCACAAGGGTTTTCCAACATCAACAGCCATTTGATGCCAATTACAATGATACCAACCAAAGCGGAGCCAATTCTAGACAGTTTCTTGGGCCACACTCAACCGGGCAGCCAACCCCCGGATCTTCTCACACAGCTGCAGGCCATAAAATTGGTGACAGAAGCCTTCAAATCCACCGAATCCCAATCTTCTGCACCAAATTTTTGCAGTCACGAAGGAACATTGTCATCATCGTCTTCTACTTCATCTGCAACACAAGAGCAGGCAACCCTGCAGGCGTTTAGCTGGAGCGATTTTCTCCTTGAAGACGCGTTTATGCCAATTGGTGACGCCCAAGAACACGAAAACAAGGCTGAGTATTCATCGAAGGACCAAGCACAAGTAGCAATACAACAAAGCCAAATCGACGTGGATTATGCAATCTCAACAAACGAAGTTGAAGCTACATCGGCGGCATGTGACAGTTCGTTTGTGGAAGCCATGGTAGCTAGAGAGAATGAGATGTTCTTGGAGTTTCCTGAACTCATGGAAGAACCATTCTACTACTGAGTTAAAATTTACTCCAAAGTTATGGTACTAATTTTGCAAACAATAAGATTCTTTGTATAAGATGAAAGTCATAAGAACTAGCTTATATATAGGGCCTTGTGTTGGAACTTTATGCCTTGCATGATACAATTAAACTAGTTAATGAAGGTTTTGTTTGTTTCCTTAATTACGTTTCAATAACACACTCAGTTTCCTTGATTTTCTCATTTGGTGGTGATTTGACTGTTAACTAATACTGTGCTTCGAAAATATAGTTTTAATTGCATTGAATAACCAAAAGTAATTATATTTGTATCTAAGTCAAACATGAGATTTATAATACGAATTAAGATTCTCTTCGAATTTTTGTGTTTCCTCTCGCATAATTTAAAATGAATGGTTTAAATATCCTGATCATTGAGACTAGTCTTCTAGATATAAAGATTCGAAAAGAATCTCAATTCTTGTAATACTAATTGATAACTAACAATAAACGTTAGGCCACTCATAAAAGCCATTGTTTGGTTAACAATGACTTTGCTTTCAAGATATTTGTGTTAATTTAACCGCTCTTGCAGAAATAGAGCCAAGTTAGGTATCTGAAGTTTTGTCTTTTTTCCTTTTTAGTATACACCAATTTCAATGGGAAACTTTTTTAAGAGATCGGTATTCAAACAGATACTTCAGATGCCATAAAATAAATAGAGAAAGATGAAAAAAATATTATTTTATTCACTTATATTATGACATGTGAGTACCGCTCAAATACGCTTTACTTTAAAAAGAAATAACTATTCTATCTTAATCAAAATTAGTAATCTATAATTAAGGACAGTCGACCATAAGCCTCAAGTAATTAACTTCACCTCTCGATTAGTGAGTGGTCCTTGTTTGCTTTTCACTACAAGTCGTTTATTTTTTTACTTATTTATTAATTCTGATAATTCATCATTAATTCAAAAAACAAAGAGCAGAGAGCAACAGAGAAATTGCAGAAGAAGATAAAAAATCGATAGAAAAAATCCTACAAAAATGGTGGCGATTTCGTTGTACAGAGGAAACCTCCACAGAGTTCCCGACGTACCGCGTCGGTGGCTTATGCCAACCCCTAAAATTTCCCTCAAGGACTTCAAATCCCTTTTAACCCGCCGCTCTGTAGCTCTCTCCCGCCTCCGCTCCGCCCTCCCCGACGCCGCCTTCTCTAACCCTGACACTGATTTTGTCCGCGACCAGCTCAACGAAGCTCCAAAGGCGGGAAATTTGTCTCACCCCACGATTAAATTTGAAGCGCCGGAGAATGTTGATGCTGATTGCGAAGCTGGGCCGTCCGGGGAGAAGAAGGATGGGAAGCAATCGGACGGTGCTGATTCTGCGGTGAAATCCGGCGGTGCGTTCGATTCGCTGCCTGCTCTTAAGCCCGATTTGATCGAGAAAGAGTCGGATGTTGCGGATGTTGGTGCGAGTTCACTGGCTGTGAATGCTGATAAATTGGATGAAGTGGCAAACCCTAATTCTGAGGTATATCTATATCTATATGTGTATTTATATCTGCTTTTCAATTGGATTCTGAATTGGTTTGGAAAGTTTTGTTTTTGAATTGGGCATTTTTATGGGTTTGTGTTCTTAAAATGAAGTATGAAAATTGGATTTTAAACTGTAATGTGTGGAGAAAGAACAACTTAAATCTATACAGCACAAGCATGCATTTTGATTTGCTGAACTGTTTAGCGTAGTTTCGATTCGTGTTTAGTAACTGAAATTGTTTGTTTATATGATAGAGATGCAACAAAGATGAGGAGGAGTTAAGTGACAATCAAAAGAGGAAAAGAGAAGTTGAGGAGAAGCTGCAGGTTTTGGATCAAAAGAAACATAATCTAGTTCAAGTGTTGAAGCAGGTAAGTTTTGGGTCCATAGTCGATTTGTGTGTTTGTTTATGTTACATTGGGAGGGATCGATACTAGGGAGTTCTTTCGTGTTGGTTTACAGATCTTAAATGCAGAGGAGGAGTTAAAGAGACGAAATTCCATGCAAGGAGTGGTGGTTCGCCCGTCTGTATCACTTCAAGTGGATGTAACAAATGACTCCGGTTCAATGACTAGGCACGCTGCTGCTAGGTTGGGCTCGGAGGCAAACCTTGAGATGGAAGGGGTTGAGGGCGATGAGCTTTCAAATCATAACATTCAATCTCGCCATATGTTCCGGATGAACAGCACATCCCCATCTTCAGAGTCTCCTCTCAGAAGGCCAGCTCATATTCAGCACAATGTGGTAATGCATTTTGGTTACTGCTTCTGCTACCACATATCGTTTTTGTTTTCATTGGTGTCGACTACTGTGTTGATGGTTTTCGATTATCTTGTGGGAGCATATAAATTAAGAATCTTTTGAATTTCAAGTGTTGGACTAGCAAAAGCAGTTTTCGTGAGAGATTAGAAATACGAGGAACTATTTTGCAATTGATGTCTCTTTGCTTTGCTATTATTTCGTGAACTCATTTTCAGTTATCAAATTTCTGTGCAGGTTCCACACCCCTCTCGAGCAAGTTTAGGGGCAACCGGTACTAGTCCATCACGCTTTGCTCCCATAGGGCAACTGGGGCATCCTGCAAATCTACCCACGTTATCCGTATCAGGAACAAATTACATGGCATCCTCTCCATCCCCTGCAACATCTGGCGGCACTTCTGCTTTCAGAGACGCTCGATTGCCAAGTCCATGGAATTAGATTCGGGCTGTGTACTCCCTTTGTTTACAATGGGACTCTGTTCTGAACACCAGTGTCTGGTGGATCGATATTTGATATGTGTGGCCCTATCGCCCTCGTATTCAAATCCGGGTGGCTTTCAAGGATCAGAAAACTGTCTCAGTTGGCATCTCTTTTCGGTTTTCCTCTTCCTCCTCGTCCCTGGCACGGCCAAATTTTCTTGTCTCCTTGTATCTTTGTAAATTAGTAAAGCTTGTCCAATTAAAGCTGTATTGAATTTCTTTAGCCTGCAACATGCGTACGGATAATTTTGGTGAATTTATGGAACACATTCTTGAGAAACTATAGTGTATTTCACAACAAAACTTGGACGCTAGAATGGACTAGCTGTAATAAATGAGTTATTTAACTCTTGACAAGTACAGCCACAGTTATAAATTGAATTCATCACAAGTATATACCGACATAGCATTTACCAAGCTAAAATTAATACCGCTTCCAACTGTATGATTTAACCGAACTCTCCTTGCCCTTAGTGTAAAAATATTGATGTATTAAAAAAAAAAGACTACTTAATGTTGTTTATTGTTTCCGTTAGTATTATTATTAAGTTTCAAGTAAAAATCAATCTTGATTAACTAATTTTGTATGAGGTCATATCTTGTGCGTTAAAGTGACTCAACAATACTTTTACTGGAGCGTTAACTTACTTACAACAAAGTTATACTAACCACAACTTAGTATCGAACTCACTACAAATATAAATCATTCTCGCACCCTATAAGTTAAACCTGAGACATCCTTCAACAAAAAAATAGAATTTGTAGGGTAGCAACCCAAATTCCTTCCCCTATGCTAAAATTGCGAGACAAGATCCCAAAAATGTTTGCCCTAGCTAGGCAACTTAACACTAAAAGCCCATACGGATTTATATGGTTGGGTGAGTCAACGGTCAAAACATCACCAGGGACCCTCCCTCCCTTTTCCTCCGCCAACGGCGCATTTTAGAACTCAAAAGTGACTAGATCTCACCACACAAGTCCCAATTCACCCCAACCCCACCACTGACCCAAAAACATATCAACACAAAATCCATACCTCCCCTCCCATTTCCTCCCATTCATCTACCCACCACTGCCCTAAACCGCCCATAAAACACCACCATGTCCAACGGTGCCACCCACCGGCGCATGCTAGCAGCGACAGAGCCAAAACACTCCAAGCCCTCCACTTACCTAGATCCTCCTTCCCTGCCCGCTAAACCCTCTTCCACCTCCAACCCCACCTCAAGAGTCATCGCAAGTCAACGACCCCGCACTTCTCAGAGCCTCGTTGACACTCGTTTGCAGGCCAAATCGATGTCGGCGTCCATGGATTCCTCCAAGTCTTCCCTCAAATCGAATCCTCAGCTCAAATCATTCGACCCCAGAATCGAAAAACAGAGCAAGAAAACAAAGGAATCAGAAAAATCTAGAAAACCCAATAAGGATGTCGTCGTCGTGGTGAAGAAGAAGGAAGCTCAAAAGGGCTTGGTGGATTTTGAGAAAGAGAAGGAGTTGGATAGCGGGAGAAGGCTGTCGGTTTCGTTCGCCGCAAGCGGCGGCGGAGGAAGGAGGAGATCCCTGTCTGAGCCGCAGGTGCAGTTGGCGGATGTGTTAGCAAGTAATGGGGTGAGAGTTGTTTCAGCTGATATGCCGCCGTTTATGCAGATCCATGCTGTGGAGTGTGCAAGAAAGACACATGATAGCCTGGAAAAGTTCACCTCCAAGACTCTTGCTTTGACTCTCAAAAAGGTAACTTAATTATGAGCTTAATTATCATGATTAGGATGTTTACTTTTGATTTTGCTTAGGTTTTTGGTGATTATGTGATGTGGGTTTTGTGAGTTTTATGATTAGGTGGTAATTATTTTGTGGGGTTTAAAGAACTCAAAAAGTCCCACTTCAAAACCACAATGTATAATGAATGGTTCTGCCACTAATGACACCGAGTTCTTTTGTGATAAAATCTCATATTTTCCGTGCGTGTGATTAGTAGTGAGTCGTTAGTCCGTCTATGTGCAAATATTGACAGGTTTGGGTAATTGTTATGCAGGAATTTGATGGGGTATATGGGCCAGCATGGCACTGCATTGTAGGAACAAGTTTTGGGTCTTTTGTGACACACTCTGTAAGTGGGTTTCTGTATTTCTCAATGGATCAAAAGTTGTACATCCTCTTGTTTAAGACCACTGTACAAAGAGCGGACTGAAAATCTGAAATGTTTTAAGACTTTTTTTAGGTTAGGAAGAAAGTTCTGGAAAGCTCAAGAATTAAGTCTCTGCATTCTTCTTCTTTCCAGTGTAATCATCACTCTTATAAAACCATAAATATATCTGTTACATTTTTCGCTTTCTGTGTTCGTTTTGTTCTTAGGTGTTACCGGTTT